AAAAGAAAAGTATTGCAATCGGTCATACTATTACTCATGTCATGAATTATTCCTATAGTCATTTTAAAGTTTAATGTATAAAACTTTGATTCTATTCTATAACTGGAGTCGATTAGGTCAATCAATCAAGGCATACTATGATTTTAGAATCAGACTGAACTTGTACAAGCTGTCGTGTAGATTGATATAACAACAGTGATTTGAGTATCTTGTAAAATGAAAGATGATGCATTGACAATTTTATACTGTCGAGGATTGTAAAGGCACAAATAGTGATACACTAGAGTCTTTATATCAAAGTTTGCTTAACGGATTACAACGCGTTGGGAAAGGATGAAGATTTTACCCAATCTATCTTGAAGTGCCCTACGTCGTGTAGGTAGACATGAGTGAAATGGTATAGCAAAATAAAAAATAAAAAATGAACTTACTCGACTTTGGAGATTGATAGAGGAACGTTGTTAGAACACCAATACTTTTGATGACTCTATTGAAATAGAAATTGAGACATTTATAGGAAATATTCAAGACGGAGCTTTTGTTTGAAGGATGAAATTTTTACATTAAAATAGTCAAGCGATTGAATTTTCCTTCTTGGTCTGTACGTATGCTTGAAAACGATCATCAATTGGAAGGCAAGGATTGAACTAGCACCTTTTTATTTGGCTAGTTTAATCGTTTCAAGAAATACGAATAGACAGTTGATTGTGCAAAGTTGGAATATAAATAGTGTAGCTGATTTTACAGTCGAGTTACGCATGCAATATATATAATACCTTTTAATTGACTATCTGTGGTGATTATGAATAGCAGTTATTGTTGGCAATAATTGAATCAAACGAGTATCTGCAAGGATGGCATTATTGACTACTATTTGCTGTTGCACTGTCGATCAAGTAGGATGGAAGAAATAGTTGACGTAATAGTAGATGCTATTTTCAATCTTGACTCTATCATCAACGCATACAATCCGTAGCCACTTCCTTCTTTTTTATTTGATTGAAATCAATCAAGTCTCCATCAAATATAAGTCGATGATCGATTGTATTCAGGCCATAAAATAATCAAATAAGAAAAGGCCACAATGGAATAAGATTCAAGCCATATCTCGTTTACTCTGTATACAGAGAGAGAAAGAAGGCAATCTTTTATCCAAGTTCAATTGGTCTACCTGTCCCTATCTACTTGCCTAGATGGCTAGATGCAAACGCATAAAGGGCATGATTAGCCTGGAGTCAAAAATAGCTTGAATAAAAAGGCTTATTTTTAAATTTCAAGAGTACAAAAAGGAAAATGACGACAAAAGACGAATGGTAGCTCAAAATAGACTAGTTTATGGTGTTATTCCATGATAGCGTGTGTATGCGTATGTAGGGCCAAAAGTATAAAAAGGAAAATGACGGCAAAAGACGAATGGTAGCTCAAAGTAGACTAATTTATGATGTTATTCCATGATAGTGTGTGTATGCGTGTGTAGGGCCAAAAGTATAAAAAGGAAAATGACGGCAAAAGACGAATTATAGCTCAAAGTAGACTAGTTTATGGTGTTATTCCATGATAGTCTGTATGCGTGTATAGAGCCAAAAGTAGAAGAAGGAAAATGACGGCAAAAGACGAATTATAGCTCAAGGTAGACTAGTCTATGGTGTTATTCCATGATAGCCTGTATGCGTGTATATAGATCCTATTGATTGTTGAAGGGACAGAAGGCAATTGAAGGATAAAAGTCATGAAGCAGATGTTGAATCGAGGCATGTTATTGTCCATAACATGGATAAGTTGAAGTTTTACATTGAATAATATATTGAATATGATAGAGGATCGCTAGGGTGATCGTGGGCAATACAAATAGATGCAATTTTATTCCATCTAGTACTATAAAATTTCAATCATAAGACCATATCAATGTCCTAGTCATCATCATCATTTCCTACCTAGCTAAAGCGATTTCCTTGGCGAATAGTATAATATGCTTTCTTCATCAATGGGACATTCAAATTGGTTGACCATCAGCAATCGGATGAAGGATTATGGCCAAGAAATGGAAATGGGAATTTTTCACCTTTTAATCTGGACTTTTTCCCCCTCTACCGTAGAATGTTGTCGAACACCACTTTGGATAATAATAATAATAATTGTAATTACATTTTACAAGAGATAAATGACTCTCTCTATGCAGATTATCTTTCAAGAGGGGAAAAACGCTCAAAAGAATATCCCATCCAATATAAACAATGTCTACTAACTATACTCTCACTATTGCAAGCGCAAGAAGGAGAATTGGTCTTCAGATCGAGTATGGAAAAGAGAAAAGCGTTTATGCGCGTCTCTTAGTCTTTCTTGGCTGGATATCGTCAAGATACTATAGGATCCCTTATGAACAACATCTCTATCATCATCAATGTCATCATTATAATAATACTCATAATAGTAAGAATAATACGCCAATAATAACAATCATCATTCTAATTATTTATTGATTTAACGTTGGACGGGATCTATCGCTCTATTGGTGTATTATGGCTTTGAGTGATGTTGTTGTTTAAGTACTAATGTTAGCTTAGGCATAATATCGTGTACTGGTCGAGAGAGAGGCGCAGTCTCTTGTTGTTACTTTCTTGCTGGGGTCCTCTGGATTAAAAGTCGTATTTAGTAGACGATAGTCATTGATGATGCAAGCTTAATGGAGATGGAATACAGTGTTGTCCTTGAATGAATCGTTTTGGCAGCAGGTGGGATACGGTAGACTTTGATTTAAAGCGCTGAAACGCTGCTATTGGAATAAAGTAGCGTGGAAATGACGATAGTACAGTGCAACGATGATACTATCCCTAAATTTAATTCGGGAAATTGGACTAGGAGTCATTCATTCGTCAACAATCATTGAATTTGAAAATTCAATATTGTAGGCTACCCAATGGCTGTTGGCTAGCAATGGTTTTTGCAATAGATGGAGTCAACCTATGGTGAACATGCTAAACGCAATGGTTTGAAATGGACAATCTTGCGATTTAAGTGTCGTTGCAATATTGCATATACCCGTAGGCTTGATTCACATGCTATTGGAGTAGAAGTAATCGATGAAGGATAGTTTTATTTGAAAATCGTGTAGGTACAAGTCTTCTAGGTATGCCCAATGGATGTTGACATAATACTGCTTTTGAAAGAGTGGCTTTTGCAACTGATACAGCATACGCGTAGAAGATCAATGGTGACCAACAGCTCCTGAAAGAAATGGACAAGCTTGGGCAATGTGATGGTAGAAGGGGCCGTGATGATACTGTCAATTTTTGAATTTTTGTACAAAATTGCTTGCATTCATTACTGTAGTCAGTGTAGCGTAACCATGGTGTAAGCATGTTAGAAAGTACTGCATGTAACTGGATTAGAAGTAATTGGTGAAGGATAACTTGATTGGAAAATGCACTACTACAGAATAGCAGAGATTGACAACGACGAAATGTTCGTCTCTGTTGTCAATCTCTGCTACGACTGTATATACAGTACATCTATTTAAGGATCAAATAGTTTCTAGTAAATTAAAATGTAAAGTACGTATATGGAAAGTCAATGGGCCTTCTGTGCATATTAAATGACTATCGATATTGGCTGTGGATAGCCTTATTCAATTTTACAGACCACTGCGCTAGACCTTCGGTGAAAGCGTCGGAACTATGCTATAAAATGAGCTAGTCTAGCGTGGCCTGGAGAATGCTATCCTATCTATCCTATTTCGGTTAAGTTGAAGGAGAGTCAATGGGCCTTCTTTGTATATCAAATGACTATCGATATTGGCTATCGATGGGATGGGATAGCCTTATTCAATTTTACAGACCACTGCGCTAGACCTTCGGTGAAAGCGTCGGAACTATGCTATAAAATGAGCTAGCCTAGTCTAGCCTGGTCTGGAGAATGCTATCCTATCCTACTTCGGTTAAGTTGAAGGAGAGTAAATGGGCCTTCTATCACTGATCATGAATTCTATGTATATCAAATGACTATCGATATTGGCTGTCGATGGGATAGGATAGGCTTATCCAATTTTACAGACCACAGGGCTAGACCTTTGGTGAAAGCGTCGGAACTATGCTATAAAATAAGCTAGCCTAGCCTAGCCTGGCCTGCAGAGTTGGAAAATGCTATCCTATCCTATTTCACTTAAGTTCGGTCAATTGAAAATGTATTCTCTGTACACTGAGTGTACAGAATAGTGCAAATTTCAAGATTAAAAAATTGCAGTGGTGAAGTTTGTAAAAACAATCTTTATTATATACAATACTGCGCTTGGATGTTTTATCCTTTTTCTCATCACTGTAGAGTGGACATAGGGTAACCGAATCTTTGCCATATCGAAATGGCACTTGGGATGAGTTGGGCTTTAAACGAGAATCAATCAATGCCGAGTCATGAAGTGAATACTTGTAGTGAGCAAGAAGCAAGCATACTCTTTTTACGCGTAGAATGGTCAATATATTGACAGCACTGTAATGCATGCTGTTTTTGCGACATTACGCTGAGATTTGAATCGGTAATATTGTATAGATAGAGATGGCATCTATCCGAGTAGACAGTTATTTAGAATGTTGATGTTTACTTCCAACATTATACGTCGTATAAGTTTGTTACGAGTTTCGGTCAACGCGCTTCTACGCGTAAAACTCATTCTTATGGCATATTGATTGATTATTATTTTTATTATTGACTTTGACATTGGCCGTGACGTATCTCTGCCACAGCTCTCTGGATTAAACTGTTGCATAGGGTAGATGTATTCTAACGCCGTTTAATTTATTTATGAATGGCTTGCCTCTATCCAGACCACACTGTCATTTTTTTGCCAATTGCCCGTGACATATCTCCTCCCACTGCTCCCATACGGTTCTATCGATGATGAGGCCTTACCCTGCAATGAATGCTTTGCATCTATTGGGACAACATTGATTTGATTATCCTTGGAAATAGGATGCAAAGACAGTCATTGACAGAGACGGCATTTCATTTTAAAGTAATTCCTTTTTAGCCTTGAACCATTGATTCATTTTATAGTGATGAAGTTTTACAAGCAAATTGGCACAATTATTTCGCACACGACGATCCAAGATATCGACACCGAATAGTCCATCCATTACTCTCCTAGGATACAGATGTGCCTATTAGCACGTCAACAGAAGGCATCAATATACTCATCCAATCGATCTACGAATAGCCAGCCTGTCGATTGAAGTATATCCTAGTTGTATTTTTAGTCGGTGCTGGTTGTTGATCGATGCTCTTTGCATATCCCTTCGTTTATAGTCACGACCATCATCCTCTATAAATCTCCCACCCGTCTAGTGACATCAACAGAAGGTATTAACATTCTCATCCATCGATCTACGAATAGACTGTCGATTGAAGTATATCCTAGTCGGATTGATGGTTGCTGATCGATGCTCTTTGCATATCCCTTCGTTCATAGTCATGACCATCATCCTCTCTAAATCTCCCGCCCGTCTAGTGACATCAACAGAAGGTATTAACATTCTCATCCATCGATCTACGAATAGACTGTCGATTGAAGTATATCCTAGTTGGATTGATGGTCGATGATGGTTGCTGATCGATGCTCTTTGCATATCCCTTCGTTCATAGTCATGACCATCATCCTCTCTAAATCTCCCACCCGTCTAGTGACATCAACAGAAGGCAGCTATATCCTCATCCATCGATCTACGAATAGACTGTCGATTGAAGTATATCCTAGTCGGATTGATGGTCGATGATGGTTGCTGATCGATGCTCTTTGCATATCCCTTCGTTCATAGTCATGACCATCATTCTCTCTAAATCTCCCACCCGTCTAGTGACATCAACAGAAGGCATCCATATTCTCATCGATCGATCTACGAATAGACTGTCGATTGAAATATATCCTAGTTGTATTTTTAGTCGGTGCTGGTTGTTGATCGATGCTCTTTGCATATCCCTTCGTTTATAGTAATCACCTTCATTCTCCATAAATCTCCCACCCGTCCAGCGACATCAACAGAAGGCATCCATATTCTCATCGATCGATCTACGAATAGACTATCGATTGAAATATATCCTAGTCGGATTGATAGTCGATGATCGATGCTCTTTGCATATCCCTTGCTTTTAATAAAGGTGAACGACCGCCATGACCATCAGCCTCGACCAATCTCTCCAGTCTAGTGTCTCGTATGCGATACAGTAGTGCACGGTATCAATCGGTGTGGGATGTGGCTGATCGTCCGTCCATACGATGCTATCGTGTCGCTCAGGGACTCGCAAGAGGAATATTCCTTTTGTTGATTGTGTCGTAGTCGCCGCTATGGCGGATAGGACTATACTAGAGGTAAAATACAAAACCAAGGTCAACTAGATGAACAGATATAGAATTGCAAATGTTGACTTTCAGTAGAAAGAAGCCTTTCAAATTGCAATACGGTCGTATAAAGCAAAGTGGAGAAAACAACCATTGGACGTCCTTCTGTCTTGCTTGATGAGTCTCGGTCCAAATTGGATGGCTATTCCCTTGACAATAGTGGACCTTCCCAAGGCTCAAAATAGCCCAGGAACAAAAGAAAAGTCAGCTGATCTAGTTTGACGTCACAGAAAGTCAAGGCCAGTCAGCCGATGGGCAGTGTCCCCGTGACTTGGACTTTTCCGACGACGACGTCAGGTTTGACCAGCACTGTCATGTCTTGAACGTGGCGTTGACGTCGATACTTTGACTAGGCGATTTCCCTGTTGGGGTCGGGTTGTTGTCAAGCGGTCTCACCCGCCTTCGCCTCACTCGCCTGACTGTGTGTGGCGCAGTATAGGATGACCCTGTCAAGGCAATCGATCGCCATCGACAACAACACCAACCAGCTTGGCAAAGCTTGGCCACCAATTTGTTGCAATTCTTCCTTGTCTTCTTCCATTTTATCCAGTCTCCATTGGAAAGTAGCCATGGTTAGCCATGTCTTGAGTCATTAGCTGCCAGAAAGAGTGATGTAAGTTGATCTTGATGGTAGTACAACATCATCATCAAGAGATGATGATGTAGGCAAAAAAGGAACGACATGCAAATCCTTGCTTATCATGACGATTGATGAAAGTGCATTTTCCGACGATTCCTTTTCTATCTTGATGGGGGTTAGCATAACCTCAATTGGGCTCCTGACCATTTAATCCATGTATTTCAACATCCTATTTCACTTGTAGAATAGCAATAATTCATTCCTTTTCAACTGGTACTTCTTAGGCGATTGCAAGGTCATTCAATCCATTGCTAACGTCATTACCATGGTCGGTGATGGTAGTTTTCATTGATTTGAAAATGAGGAAAGCTTGCAGTCCAAAATGAAGGACGAGACGATCATTTCCATCCACATAAGTATAGCCATGGATTGTTTACCAACAATCCATGTTGTTGAGGATCAATACAAAATGCGATGATAGTCTAGTAAGTTATGTTTCTTTTCTCATCATGGCCATACTGTTGTAGCCGTAGCGTTCTCCATCTTTTTCATCGCCTTTTTCCCAACACCGTACACAACGACTCTTCCATTCCATCACCATTCCAACATTGTTCCCTTATTGCCCATGGTCATCATCACACTACTCTCATTTTCTAGTCCTATTGCTATTTTCTATACGCTATCCCAATCATCCATGTCGATAGAAATGGCAATCAAAGCAGTCAACACATTCAATTGATATTGCCAATGCATAACAGCAATCTTCCAAAGGCGGCGTTACTAGGCCAATTCAAAACGACATCATAAGGATGGATGGAAATCCGATGGGACGACTTCAAGTCAGAAAGGAGAACATCCAAGTTAAGCGATTATCGTACAAGCAGGAGCGAGCAAAATAGCCATAAACCAATTGCATCCAAACACAGACAACTGCTTGAAAGACTACCGTTGTACTGATCGTTGCCACCTTCCATCGCATTCCATAAACGCTTCGAAAATACATTTGCCCAATTTCAATAAATAGACCATTTCCTTTAGGGGGCTAACACAGGGTGATTATAAATTAGTAATCATCGTCGATAGGGTTGATACTAGTTTAGACTGCTTGTGCCATCGGATTGGACTCATCAACATCATCATGCCTATTTTCCAATATTGTTAACACACAGTCCTACTCGACCATCATTGTTATTACTACGCCATGCTATTGACTATTATTTATTATGGTTACAATTATTCTAAACTGTAGACGAATAGTAAAAGGAGGATGCTACTTGATGGCAAAAACAAAATGACTGTAGGAGAAATCCATTGAAAATATCGTGTCATGATAGCATTTGGTACACCCTACATTCTCCTTCCTGTTATAGTTAGCTTACACCATCCAAACTAGATGCCATTTTTGCCACTTGGCAAAGTCTAAACAACACAAAGCCATGGCGATACTGGAAATTCATTCGGCCGTCTGCCTACGTAGACATCAAGTATGGACGAAACCTACTTAAAGTACAATCACCATCATGGAAATGATGAAATACGTAGTTTGTATCTTGGATCGTAATCATTGGGTAGAGTAGGAGAGGCGACATGGAAATCAAAAAATGTCCACTATCATCTTTACTGTTGCCAAGTAGTTGCAAACCCCCTGGACTACTGGACTGAACATATTGTCAGAGTGAGAAAACCATGCAAAAGGAACAAGAATGATGACTTACACCATTTCTCTCGCCTTGAGTCACGATAATAAATTGACCTCTAAAAAATGTTCACTATCATCTTCAATGTTGCCAAGTAGTTGCAAACCCCCTGGACTACTGGACTGAACATATTGTCAGAGTGAGAAAACCATGCAAAAGGAACAAGAATGATGACTTACACTATTTCTCATGCCTTGAGTCACGATAATAAATTGACATTCCCCCCCCCCCCAAAAAAAAAAGGTGGATAGAATCATTCCTGCTTATGGATCAGATGCTAAAATGCTCAATGTTCACTACTGTAGTTATCATGAATTGCCGTAGTGCACTATTTGAATTCGATTCATGACTTGTTCATTTTAGCAGTAGTCAATGTAGCTGTACTTAATCACCCGCTACGACATCCAACCATGTTGCTCACCATTCAAAATGGTGAGCAATCATCCAACTATTTGGAAACGAATTATTTCACCAAATCATCTAGCATAAGATACACTGACAAACGACAACATGGTGTGATAGTATAATATACATGATTAAGCGATGCATCAAATGCCAATCGTATTAATTAATCCAATTGATGAATTTCCCATACGCAATTACTTGATGAGATTGACTGGAAAGTGATGACTATCCAGTCAAAAGATGAATGGATTCAAATGTAAGCTTTGCATGCTAATTTTCTCCCAACATTGACTTTGATTGTTAGACTCCCTATGGTTAATGACAGCAAGCACGCAGTGCAATGATTGCAATGGCAGTTTGTAGTAAGTTTACTCTCATTCCATGCCTAATCATAATAATGATGATACTATTTCTCTGTCGTATCATCATACCAGTATAAAGTAACCCTCACAATATGTGGAGAATAGACGTTTGCAAATTTTCAATCCTCTTTCAGAATTGTAGTGAAATGCGCCTCCAAATGACGATACAATTTAAAAATTGAAATTGGAAGCAATTATTACACAGCATAACATTTCTAACAGTGGTCTATACAGCCAGTATCCATCTGATCGCTAGTCGTGATAGCATATCTAATTGAAATGGATGATTTATATCCACTTTTAGCGAGTGATGATACGATAGATCATTCAAAAGGGTGAAATGGATATCATTTCTTTTTTTTTTTTGGATACTTACCTTTGATCCATCAACGCGTAGAATTCTACTGTACATAGGATTACATAAAATCTTATTTTCAAAATGACTCTCGACTAACCTTTTAACCAGTGGTTGTACATAAATCATTCTATACCAACCATTGGCCTGCTGTTAAAAACAACTCATCATCTTGATAGTGTAATGCTTAGCATGATCCATAAAACTCCTACAACAGTCATCCATCCGTAAGTAACAGAGAATCCATTTCGACCTTACGGCTATCTCTCCTTATTCGGTGACTGCCATAAAATGGAAAGGATTTGCAAATATCCTACTGTGCATAGAACATCCATCAAATACCCAAATACACTTGTGATTCAATAGCAATCAAACATCATTACTCTGTCAACAACTTTTCAATACTTGTTCAACTTGCATTGCATCCACTGACAAATTGCTCAACAATTTTATCGACATGTGGACAGTCATGAATTTCAAGTGAAAATCATTGGGTATTGCCGCCTGTAAATGGAGAGTACAATCAGTCAACATGTTATCCTAACCCAACTCCATTTCCGTTGGCCAGCATACAGGATATCTTCCAATTCTGCATGAACATACATTGTATACGGTAACATAAGATGGAACAACAACTATATTAAGTGGTTCACTTGAAAGTGATCCACTTTATTCCACGTGTTGACGAACATATATGCCACTGCAATACCATGTGGCTTTGAAATCAATCATGGACTCTAGAATGGTGACAATCAATTGGAGCCCAAAGTGAACGTCCATGACTGCTCCGAGAGCATATAAATAGTTGTTGCCAACGCCTTGAAGGCATTTCCAATTTGACCATCACATGATTCACATCGCCATCCTCATCGTAATTGTTCGTCTTGACATTAACTTACTGCTAGTAGAAGAATCCAATTCGACTTTGAACGACTGATCTCATGGACATTTTTTTTAATTTCTTATATTTTAGATCCACAAAATCAAATTTCAATCAAGTTAACCATGGCGTACGACGATAACAGCACATTCAGACGAAGCGTTGATGGCTGTGGCAATACTTCCGTAGACAATCATTCGGACAGTCTTGATTATAATGGAATTCTGTCTGATCTACTCTATCAGTCCGATAGGCAAACTGATCGTACAACATCACCAATGTTGCCACTTTCCACTACTTCAACACAACAAGCGAGATTAACCAGTAATTCTAACCAGTCTACCGCTACAACAAGCAACACTAATAGTACATCTCCTATGTTAATGATTAATTCTGATAGGACAAGCAGCAATACTCATAGTCTACATCAAAAAACGACCAATTATCCGCCTCATACTAACAATCATTTTCCAAGGTACACCGATCAACTATGCCCAACTGCTCCATCTCAACACAGGATTGCTAATCTCTCAACTTATAGCCAACACGTAGGTTGCACTAATTATAATGTAGACAATCGTGCAAGAAATAACATTTCCCATCATGATAACCAAGCTATCAATTTCAAAACCGACCGCAAGAACGCCAATGGCAGTGGCACACATCATTTAAGCAATGATCAATCATCCCCATTTGTAGTCAATCAAGTAAATCCTCACATTCACAATCAAACATACGGTCGCTCTTATTTGTCCAGCAATACTAATAATATAGAAATGGCTTCATCCAATCTTCCTACATCCCAAGCATCGTTATGGTCGCCTGCACGTGAAATTTCAGCCAATTTAATGAATAACAGTGAGAATTTGGATCATGCACATGTTGGTGATAATTCTATCATGGATCCTGAAGCCACTTTTAATAATCCATTTTTAATGTCAACTATGGGTAATTTTACATCTTCAATCAACGCGTTCAATGATTCTTTCCCTCGAATGCGATCTTCATATTGTAATTCATCACCATCCCATCAATCTCAGCGCCGCTATAGCAGGGAATCAACTACTTCCAGAACTCGTGGCAACATGAAATCGCCTACTACATCACGTAACTTTAATCCCAATTTTCAATCTAGTCATTTTTCTCATCCATCACAAGATAGGTCTCTTGCCTCCAATTCTGCTAGTAGTAGCGGTAATTTGAGTGCAGTTTCAAATATGCCCACATTTGATACTTTTTCCACGTCGACAATATCCCAGTAAGTGATAGCCGTTCGTTCAATTAAGAGTATTTCACTGATATATTGTAGATAGGGTAGTAAGAAAATGATTATATTTTGCGTTATTTTGCATCACCGTATAGAGAAATACTCTTAAAAGCGTTCATTACCTTATCCCAACAGTACAATTAGGACAAGCCATGATTGTACTATTGACATCAATTTCTAATGTTTTACATCTTATTTTTTTCCCTCTGACATTAAACGATGCAGTCCTCGAGTCAAGCCGACATTAGATGTGGCTTCTGAATCGCATAGTTTGGATGTCTTGTGCGATGTAGCTAGCGAATTCTATAATGAACAAAATGATGATTTATTCAATCTTCCGATACCTTCCACTAGCAGTAATTATGAATGTGGTACTAATGTTGAAAGATGTAAAATGCATTCAAACGGTCGTAATGCCGAATATAATGCAGATCGACAAATGGAACCATCACCTAAACGTATTCGACGGTCGAACAATCTATCTACAAGCAGTAATGCATCAGCTTCTACAGCATCGAATAACCACCAAAGATCAGTAGCAGTAATCGTGCTAGATGATGATGGAAGTGATGATGAAGCTAGAAATAATAACAACAATACCAATCCAATGGCTAATATCCCCACTGTGATTGATTTATGCGAGGTCAGTTTTCATGTATACCCCGATACATTATTCTGCATAAATCTGTCTTATCCCAATTGAATATGGAATTGGATCAATAAAAAATTAACAGATATAATGATGAAAATTATATCTATCCCGTAATTATTGGTTGTTAATAATAATTTGGCAATTGCTCATTGAAATGATATTTTTGTAATGTGAATTTATAGAGTCCGCCATCGCAACATCATCGTCAAGAAGAAGAAATTGAGGTGATCTCATTACCGACGTTACCATCATCACCGCCAGTGCCATTACAACATACTACTACTACTGTTGAAAATCCTGATATTTTTTCAGTAAGATATGATCAAGAATGCTTACCTAACTTATCTGTATATAAAATATAATTTGCATATTGTCAAGGAATTTTCTAAATTTACTAATAGTTGCAACAACTTTTACAGGATAATGCTGACGATGAAGATGTCGTTTTTACCAGACGTGTCAATTCAACAATTTCTGATGTAAGTCTGATCGATCGATTGATTGATTGAGTAATTGATAAAGAGTTACGTTATGCCATTAGTTGAAATGTTTTAGAATTATTTAATAAATGATATTACTTGTATAATCATTTCTATAATTTTCTATATTTAATCAATGCTACTTCTAACTTAAACGTGTCATCTTTTCATTATTACAATAGATTGATTGCCAAAAGCGAATGATTAAACTAAACCTTAACTATAACATATCATTGTCGATTACAGCGTTTCCTTCGTAGGTTCTTATTAAACTCGGATGATAATAGCACTGTCAGTGATGTTCCATCTTCATCGTCTAATAGTGAAGTAAATAGTGGAAATTCCTTCGGCTGGACGCAATCTGAGTCGTCACGTATGCCAGCTACTTCACCGTTAAATTTAGGCAATCCACCATCATTTACACCACCGTATGTTTCGCATGTTTCGCATGTTTTCCGCATCCTACCACTTGGTATTCCGAGTCCTTTTCGAGTATGGTGCTTATTTTAATAAAGTTGTAATTAATAATGAAATATTTGAATAAGCTAACAATATAATCATTTTTTGCCTTTTTTATTTTCAATTTGGACGTGATTACTTAGATCACTGTCGGCTTAGATGCTCCACATTTCAACAATAATAATAGAAGAGGTGGCCTTGAAAAGCGCAGTAAGTAACTTGAAATGTTTTAATATTGTATATAGCAAGTTATGCAACTATGATAACGAGTAGAAATATATTGTAAAAACTGGAAAGTACATATATTATATTTAAGTTAGGTAATGTTAATGGTATATGTTTTTGTCTGTCAAAAATATATAGGCATAGATAATTTATCATCTCGTAGATTTGATGGAAAGGCTGATAACGATGCAACATCTGATACTACGTAAGTAGACACTTGTTTATACTTTACTGTCTATCTTAGTCGAATTGAAGTGTAGTATATACCTTCATGTACTAACGATCAATTTCTTCTCCCATTTCATCCAATACTAATACACTCTAGCTGTGCAATATGCATGGATGATTATAAGAAACGAGAAAAGATTCGGGAATTACCTTGTTCTCATGGTTTTCATGCACGTTGTGTTGATAAATGGCTGCGGGTGAGCGACGGGAATAATTTTGTAGCTTATTATACATGATTTATCCGATATTATGAAAATGTGTTTATTTTATAGTTAATAGTCAATGATACTTATTTTTAACTTGTAGCAACACAATTCGTGTCCAATTTGTCGAGAAAATATCAATCCTACTGTGTAGCTCCTGGTGCATCGGGCTCTGACAACGCCGTGCCCAATTAGTGACTGTGAATTAATTTTGATTTAATGTACTTGTTTTATAATTTTGTATGATAATAATATACGTACAGTACAATAACTAGTTAATGGAATAGTAGTCTTAAAATATATCCGTACAGTGGATTATTTTATAAAATTATTCGAGATATATAAAAATCAGATAATTGTAATTATGTAGGTCTTGTCGCAGATACTTGACCATATTTTAATTTCCGTATGTCGCACAAACAGTGGTTTACTTTTATATAAGTGCGTAGAATTGTACGATTAGTATATGATCAGTTTATTTTAAAAATGTGATTTATATACTAAAGAAAGTTACATATAATATTCCATAAATAAAAGATATGCCGATTTTAGATACAGTAATTACGTACTACATTAGTACCGGATTTGCAATCTTCGCTGGTAAATACGAGATAAGTAATCGACTAGACGGTAGTCTTTGACCTAAATAGTACTGTACTGTATCGGCTACTGAATACTTTCAACATAACTTGAATGATTACTGTAAAATTAAGTATTTATCTATCTATCTCTCTCTCTCTCTATATGTATATGTATCAACATAAGTACGATATCTATATATCTGATATAGTGTCCCAAGCATCATGTACGAAATCGAAATTTTTCTTAATAAAATTGTATTGCTACGCTTAAACAATAAAATCTTAGAATTTCGAATTATTTTAGCCTAGATTTTTTATATATTTGTAGTAGCAAGACTGCGGCTGTATGTATACGTTATTAAATAGATATTACAAAATAGAAATTTCTGTACTTGAAGCAGTGGAATTAGCGTGTTATTATTAAATTAATGGTCAAATATTCTGTACAGAAGAATTTTGTTAATTACATATGCTAATGTCTGCACTCTTGGTTTCTGTAATCTTGGACCATAAGAGTATTATCGTTGACATCAGCAGAGTGTCTCTGTAGATCGTTTCATGCTATTAAGGTAACTAGTAGATCTTCGTACTGATGAAGTCGAATCTTCATATACAGTCACTTCAGCTACATCGCCACTAATATTAATTAAGCACTGACCCTATTAATTAGGTAATAAATTCAATAACCGTTAGAGATAAAGGTAAGACGGTAATTTTTTCAAGTGAAAATTTAGAGATTAATGCTGCACTATAGATATCATAAAACAATTTGACAATTCGTATTCGATAGCTATTCAACCTGATTCCGGTGAGTATTGTCTTCGATGAATAATTCATTTAAACGGTAAGATAAAAAGGCATTACCACCGATAGCGCGCGTGTAAGCTCGTATGATGGCATGAACTTCAGTTAGTGCTCGGTAAATAAAGCCAGCTTTATCACCAAACTAAAAAAGATAATACTTTTGTTACAGATTATTTAAAATAATTACAGAAACAGCAAAAATTATCACTATAAGAATACAAAGAAAAGACCTACCTCTCTAATCGAGGTACTTTCACGAATGAATGACATATTAAAATATCCAAGGTAACAATCTACTCGACCGGATGGAATCTGTGATGTCGTAGTTACTAATACAGATGTAGGCTGCCACGCACATAAATTAGGAGAAAATCATTTCAAATACTCCATCCTTTACAAGAATTGCATTGAGATATTAGTCACAATTTTCACCTTATATTCTTTTTTAATCTTTGGATGCGGCTGAACTTGCTCATTCATATCTTCAAATTGGAAGATCATATTCGTATGGCTGCCATCAGCTTGTACCGTAACATTTCCTTCTATAGTAATTGTAATATCCACATAGTTAATATCTAAATATTGTTTCAAAGAAAACTCGTAAAAATAAACTTACCAATAACAGCGTTATCGGAGCTTCCGAAACTTATCTTTCTTTCAAGCTTGAGCAATGTTGCAACCGTGTATAGCTAGCACAATATACAGTTGTAGCAAGACTTATGTATAAGTATAGCACTACAAAATAAATGTAGATCAACAGATAACCAATTACCTCGATTTCATCGCCATTTAATCTAAGTGTATGATTTATGCCGCATAAACAACAAGGTAATTGCTTTCGTGCTTTAAAATGAAGGTACTGAAACATAACCGCATAATATTAACACCAATAACAATAATACGTATATAACTAGTGATCATACCAAAGATTTATTACCTGGTTCGCTTGTTTACAAAAGTCGGATAGATGTGCGTTAGAGGATGGAATTGAAATATACTGTACTCCAGTCATAGTCTAAACAAGCATACTTTTTTAAAATGTATACGATAATCATAAATTCTTATGATAACAATACGCATTAACAACGAAACTTACTTGAAAAGTGCTCGATAAATATCTGATCCCAGGAAGGCAGTCAGTATTACATTGGTATAAACCTATTTAAAGTCGTAATATCGGAACGTGGTTTACACATGACTTTAGTATACGAGTAATCGTAAATAACTTAGATATAGAGTCTTAATTACGAACCCTTTGGTAATTGCTCGTCTAGGAGTACCGATAGCGTTTCAGTAGACAAGTCATCAACCTATAATAAGAAAGTGCGGTAACAACTATGTCAAAATAATGCTATTCAAAAATTGATTAATCGAATATCAATTACAGAGACTTTATACCTGTAAATAAGCTAACTGTTTAACCGGACTATCTTCAGCAATTTTCATTTCTGTTAATCCTCCTTTGCTTTCGGTTCTTCGATGTCGGCCTGGATCTCGTATGGTGGGATTGACAACATCAGTTGGAGTTCTGACTTCGTCGGTTGGAGATGCAGTATTTCTGTCGGTATTTTCTTCTTGCAAACCGTACAGTTGAGTATTGGTTGCTAACGTTTCCCGTAACTGCTGCTGAATGATTTTTAATGAAGTTGCGTGCACATCGGATCCCTATTAATGTTTACAAGTATTTTAATTTTGGACTATCCATTATTTGCTGTGAACATGATACATAGAGCAGATCGCTATTATTACTTACACTTGTCTCTGCATTATTAATAAAATCTGGCGTATCAGGGGACGGTAAAGCCGTCAAATAAACGGCTGTTGCGGTCTGTGAATAATTTCAGTTTAGATATGTTACATATACAATACACCCAACTATATGCATTGGTACAGTACATTACAGATATGAAATATTTACCGCTACAGCAGCCATTGCCGTATCACCTATGGAAACATTGATTTGTAGACCAAATAAACTATTCATTCCTTTTATCTGGGTATACATCAAGTGAGAAAGGGATATTACGTAATTGGAGCTTTATATGCAATAGTATAATCCATCTGGAGTACCTTCAATTTACTCAAGAGTTGCTGGTGCAATTCATACACAAGGAATGGCAGTTTCTATTGCATTAATGCCATATTGGAAAATTCAATATATGAACAATTACAAATTCTAAATCACAAAATACCTCATTGACAATATAAGCATGAGATTCCTTTTGAGCCTTTCTTGTACTGCGAATGACTCTAGATATCCATTCATTAGAAGGTAATCGAATCAAAAACGATTACATAAGATTTAAAGATGAAGAATTAAATGTCAGCAGTTTCATTCGTTAAAGTTCTCAGAACAGAGTGGTGATTTATTATTTTCCTACCTAGCTTGTATATAGCATCCTCGTCCACGTATAGCAAATTCAGGAGGTGTTTCAATAGTATTAAACAGTACGTCTGGGACCCTTCCTCGACTGCAAATAGCAAATCAAGAGCAAATGCCAAAAATTAAACTCGAATAATTAATTCATCAAAAACAATTTTCGATAGTCTTGTTCCGGTTGATATGAGCAAATATCCTCTAAAACTAGATTATGGACTTTTACCTGCAAAAATTACATAAGTTAATTTTTGTGGGTAAAGGCAATTCATTTTCTTGATAAGGAATATGGTAAATTCCACAACCAGAATTATGAGGTTCTTCCCTATTTATAGTTTCATAATTAGAGAAGTCGACGATACGAATAAATATCTTTACAGATAACGGTTCAAACTGACCCCAAATCGGTACTTTTAGAAGAGGCGTCATTGCGAAAAGCATTGGTAACTAGTATTAAGTAGACATGTTATGGTAAGTCGTACGAGGAATCACAATATTGGGAATAATGCTAGCGGAAAACAGATAACATGTTGTTACCTTGCGCTGATACGTTTACAGCCGTTCCAATAGCAGACAGAAGGCATAAATCATCACTGATATGAGAAATAAAGTTTAAAAAGGCAGTTAATTTAGGGCGATGTTATAAAGGTACTAGGCAAAGCATAGTTAAGATAAGAACCATATCGACAAGCTTTCAGAGTAGCCGGCCACACAATCACATTCAAGCAATTTTGCATGAGATTGAATTTCCAATCGTAGTTCGCGCCACCACGAATCCCGTACTTCCGATTCATCTTTTGCAGTGTAAGAAGATCATAGTTGAGCACGTGTTATGCTTAACATTTCTTTGCAATAACGATACAAATGGTTCCTTACCGGGATTATCGATTTTATCTAGCAGCTTAACTGATCTAGCTGATACAATCCCACCAACAGATTTCAGAAATCCAGCAGGAAACGACGAGATAGTAAAGAATTTAAATTCCTATGTATTTTGATAGAAAAATATATCTCAAAATTTAAGCATTCACAGGTTGCTTTGAAAGATCACTACACTAATTAATTTGAAGTTCTAAAGTTTAGATGCAGTTAGGTTAGAATATCTTACGGTCGTATCGAAACCCGATGGTGGTTGCCATGTTGGTACGATTGGATTCACTAAAAAGTAGCATATTTGTATCCAATGTTAATAATTAAAAGATGTACTTAGATGCCATCAATGAAAGACTTAAGCTATTGTCTGTACTAAAATTACCGCTAGGTCCTGATGGAATTCCATCCGAGGAAGATGTTGATGATGCATGTATCAATAAATTGCCATCTTTTCCTACACTGATACAACGATTTTTTACTGGTGTCGAGGGTGCTTTCGATTGAATTTGATTATGAAGGTCGATATCGATTGGAGACGAACTAACTTCTTGAATAATCTTGTCTTTAAAGGCTTTTTTTGGTCTATCGGAAAAGGATTTTAGTCATTTAATATATTCAGGTGGAGCTACGCGATCCATAATCGTAAAATCTTTGTCTAGATTTTGTCTAATCAAGGCAACACATACAGTACCTTTCAATTCTGTCAGGACTACCAATGGTTTGGTCATCAATGTTAGTAATTCGTGAGTGAGTAGTAGATAAATGTGGCGATGATACAATACTAAGTTTTCTAATTACAGCTGCTGTGCCAATACCTCGTACCACAATGCCGGATTCACCTTCAACGTCAATGCATTGTCTATACCTATTTATTTATAATGCATTTCAAGTATAGGAAAGAATTATAGCCAGTGCAGCTAGAATAGCTGTATTGCCATATGTCACGCAAAGCAATAACACTGCATCATAGTTACCCCAAGACAGCATTTCCATTTAGTTCAATAACCTTATTCCCAGTTTTTCGTTGTACTTCACCTAAATCGTCGAGAGCATTCGTCATTGGCATCGCTATGCTATTGTAAATATTACGGCTCTGATATACAGTAGCAAGCATCTAGTCATACCTGAAAGTCGTTGCAAAAGACGTTGCCGGGCTTGATTGGAAGTTCTTGAGCTTCTGATTTTATCGCGCCACTAATACAATAAAGATCAAAATCATTTACCATAGTCAGCATATACTCCAGAGAGTTACTATTTTATTTAACACATATACCTCGTATTCAGGATCATTGTTTACTACTAATTCTTCAACCAATCCTAGAATATTTGTGATTTGGTAGCCATGAGGTATTTCAGTGGCTAAATGTTGGACATAATAAAATTTTAAATTATTTGTTATTAAGATTTTAAACTGTAGTTCAATGTATACCATTAAGCCATTAACCATGTTGCTCTACCAAATCTACTTTGATGGCAGAATCATTAAACATTTATACTGTACTTACAGGAGAACATTTTCACACCACAAGAGGATTCTTTAAATTTATTAAAATCACGAAATAATTCTACCGTGACTATAATGTTCAGCTCACCGCGGACACCTGTATGGTTGTATCGGTTATGCCAGAACAATTTTAATTTAAAAAACTATTATTATTCGAGATCTAATGACAAGAAAGTTTCGTATTACCTCTTAGCGTGTCATAAACCGGAAACCAACCCGATAGTTGTTGGGAAGAACTCCTTTGCAATAGCGGAGTAAGGCAGACATAAACCTTTGATTTGATAAATTGTTATAATAATATGATCTTGATGAGCGCATTATGGAGTAAAACGATAGCTTTTAATTATTGCCTCTCATTCATTTATACATATTGCACATTATGTATAATCTAAGATCAAGACAAACGTCAATTTAAGCGCAGTATAACAAGTTAATAAAGCCAGTTATATTAAGTCATGTAATAACCGAAATCGATCCATTAAACACAACTACAGTACGAACGGTATATATATATATATATATATATATATATACACACTCGTAATGATGAATTGACTGTATAAGTGTACGTTGGAGATTGCTCATTAGGAGATCATTTTAGTGCAATATAGTATAAATTTATTTGGAATTATATTCATTTAAACAAATTTCAAAGAGTTTATGTTGTATTTGCAAAGGTATTTAATTTACTTATTACCATTCCAATAGCATCGTGGGCGGTATACGTATCATGATCTAGAACCCTTTCAAATTGTTTCAAAGCAACTCATTAATTTTCTTTAATTAACAGTAGAAAATAAAACTTGGAAGTTTAAATTCAGCCGAAAGCGAACATCACCTAAAATGATCTATAAACTAAAACTATTTTGTATACTCATATAATAGCCAAGATAGAAAATACGCAATTAATGCCGGGAAGTTGCTTACTTTATTTCCAAGCATCTGTCTTGTACTTCTTCATCATCAGCCTATATAATAGGTATAATGCTAGTTAGAAATTGACACATATAATCCTACATTTATATATCAAAGTTACTTACATATCACAATCTATACTAAGTACATCTACTAGTAGTCTATCCTTTATTAAAGATTTTTTTGTGATTCCGTATACGGTACAGTTGATTAGAAATGGCCGTTATCTGTAGATCTACAGTAAAAGTTACAGTTATCTAGTGGCCACTGACCTCAAAGCGAAACCAGTCGCATTTCCAAGAAGGATTAAGTGTACGCTTACAAACATCAGTTTTGTAAGTATTACTACCAAACTTGACCTGTACAAGTAAGGTAACAAATAGAAAAGTGTTAATGTTACCAGAGGTATATTGAATTAACCGTAAAAATGAAGGATTGCACTTAGTTCCTGGCGTATACTTTTCATCACATGAAACATAAAACGTTATATGCCATAGTATTTGAGCAAAGGTAATAGAATTATCATATTATTTAATATCACGAATTTTTGTAAGTATTTCAGCGACAAAAATGAATACCATCAATGTACCCATATCGAACGACATTCCCCAAGTATGAATGGATAAGTTAACGAGATGACAGATATGCAACTGATTCATCAATTGAATAAGGTATCGGAGTCATTTGCGATAGAATTTATAACGGTAACTCTTGTATGTTGATGAAAGAAAATTCGTATTCAGGATATATGAAAAAGTAGGGTTTAAAAGGATAGAGTTTCATGTGCATTTCTTCCGTAGTACAGTACAATGCATTCAGAAATGAATTAACACTAATACGTATTGTTTATCTACTTTATTTTAGTACTTGATCCCAAAATTGAAATACACCAAGACTAGATTGAACAAAGTTGTCCAAAGCTAGAGAGTAGTTTGTGTATCACTTTCTAAGCATGTCGCAAGACTGGATTAAATTTAATAGGATTGTATTGACGATGGTGGCAGAATTGTGCAAATATGGAATAAAGGGGAAATGCAGGCATTGTCATGAGCAGGACGTTATTGTGTATGGTACTAGGCTACTAGCTACTACTCGTCTTTTCAGGGGTTGGTCGTAATTTTGGGAATTGGCCATTTTCGATCACACCTAATACTACTAGCGCAACGACAGTATTGTTTGAAAACTATTGTGCATCAGAGAGAATACAAGTTGGCAAGATTTGGTTTGAAAGTAAGCGGTCCACTCGTATAACAATACAGGATACAACGATGACAAGACATGTTATTCCTCTTCTTTCTACCTAGGCCTAGGCAAATAAGGCTACATTCTACCCACTGCTTCCAACTGAAATTGATCGATTGTCGACAATTTGTGGTAGTTTGATATTGGCAAAATTACTTATATGCCACAGCATATTTTCGTATTTACTAATATGCCACTCAAAAAATCTTTGCAAAGGTTAGACATGTACTTCGCTTTCACTGTAGCAATACGTACCTCAACAAATGCATCGGCTAAATCGCTCGCCCGATCCATGACGGGAAAATTGCGACCAGCGACTATTTTTACATTGATTTTGGCCGGCATGATCCTACACTCCATTAAGAATAAGTATATTTTGATCAGTCGAAGGTTTATGCTTGTATGTCTATTCGTTGAACAAGTATTGTCATGGATCGCTTTATCAATTCAATATGGTTACAAAGCAGCACTATCAACAACAAATCTTGATGTTGTATCAGATGTACAGTATATGACGATTGGCATCATACTTTTACTTATTGGATTCAACTACCGTACCTGAATGGCTTTCTTTCTTACCGGGATCAACCAAGTTGGTACAGTAGAGTCAGTGCAAGGAGTTAATGCTAGGTGTAATATCCAAATCAATCAATTCGTTCTCTGTCGTTTTTGATCTCTTACTTACTCCTTCTGTGCAATCTTTTTGACGTTCTCTACAAATCCACTGCAGTTCAACAACATCCACACATGTTGAGCAGTCTATTGGGGGATGCTGTTGGATACCGATGCAATCCTAATCCAGTAATGGACAAATGGGTTGTTGGAAGCTTCTTCGACGTCACTAGCCGGCTCCCGACACTTTGCAAAAAGACCAATTCGCTTGGCTTGAAATTGTTGTACACTTCGCCAATCTTTGGATGGGAAATCACAGCAGATTAACTCAGCACTACATAGATTCCAAGTTATTCACTGCTAGAAATTCTATCAATTGCCAATAGATCAATATTGATCAATTTTCTACTTCATGCAATGCAAGAAAAACTAATATTAAACTTGTCAGTCAGCACTGGTCTAATCATAGTCAACACTTAATCTAGTGTTGTTAATCAATATGATTTCTTTGGCGTCAGCCAGACAGCCGCCGTTACACTGGTCTAGTACGACCATAGTGGTACTCTAGAGTGCGTCTACAGTGTATAGTACCGTACCGCGTACAGTACTGTGTCAAGGGTATCAACATCGCTTTATTGCGCATGCACCAAACAGGAGATCAGCCTGTGAATGGGGAGGGGGGGGAGGGGGGTACAAAAAATGAATTCAATCGTCGATGTCATTAGTTTATTTTCATCAATTAAATGAACTCGATTCTCTGTCCTTTTAAACTTGAAAATGCAGCGAATACGAATAGAAGCATCAAAGGAAGTATAGATAAAAGATAAAATCGTAAATTGCATACGGCTTTATATCCCTGACGTTGGGCCTTGAACGGACCTTTACATGTTCAGTAGGTTGTCCCTTTTTAGACAGTACTGGAGTAAGACAACATGCTTAAATACCGATACATTTTAACCAACGTTTCAAAAAATGAATTCTATCGTCGATGTCATTAGTTTATTTTCATCAATTAAATGAACTCGATTCTCTGTCCTTTTAAACTTGAAAATGCAGCGAATACGAATAGAAGCATCAAAGGAAGTATAGATAAAAGATAAAATCGTAAATTGCATACGGCTTTATATCCCTGACGTTGGGCTAATCGCCTTGAACGGACCTTTACACGTTCAGTAGGTTGTCCCTTTTTAGACAGTACTGGAGTAAGACAACATACTTAAATACCGCTACATTTTGGTATTGTCCGTGCTATTACTAGAGGCCATTTTAGGACAAAGCCGTGAAATTCCTAAATGGACGCTTTAAATCCTATAGGACTCTTTATTGATGTCATTACATGCGGTGAAAAAAGAAATGGATGCTTCCAATGATATCACTGTCATCTTTTGAATATTTTACTGATATGAAAATCTTGAATCATAATAGAAATGTATTCTGCGAGACGTAGAATACTGTATGCTAGACCATGGACGACTACAAGAAGAGTGTAGATCTTCTTTTAATAGTCCTGGCTACACTTACCACATCAACCATGTCAGTCTCATAAAGGTAAAAAACCTCTAGGCACGCAATAAGTAATACTACGTACCTATTCATACATGACCTAGAAGAGAGTTGGCATTGAATGACGATATTGTCAAAAATAAATTAATTATAATTATCATGAATAAATTATACGTCTATAATGATTGATGATTTCATTGCCGAACTCTTTCACTTAATTTACTGTGATGTAGGGTTGATTAATCAGCGCATGTACTATTTTATATGAGCTCTGGTCAATGTACTGTTATAATTGAGTTGTCCTTAATGCGAAACAACATGGACTTAATCTAAATCGAATTGAATATATTATAAAATGTTAAGATTTCACCATCTTTATGGCATACCAATACTGTTTAGCAACGCGACTGGACGCTTATTTTTCGACTATTGTAATAGAGTTATTATGTAGTATACGCATAATTGCTCAAAATGTGTAAGTTCACGCTTATACTCAGGGCTATTCAAAGCATAGTAATTTTTTAAATCAATCCTAAAAGTCTATAAAGCAAAGCAATAGAATAGTTGAGAGTGTTCATACAGGTAACATTTACGTAAGTGTCGTGCTAATACCGTCCATGATACCATCTTAAAGTGAGTAAACGTTGTTATCGTTTCACTAAACGATAGAAGCTCAAGCCTTTCTACTATTTTTTTTTCTCTATAGGCTTACGCTTAGAACATAAATTTAACTCTCAATATGACCTCGATAGTGTTTAAATCTGTTTACTTGATGGCAGACCAGTAAAAATATAAATGCTGAAGAGATAATCTTGGTAAAGTGACTCAGCGTTTTAAAGACAGTGATAATCTAAATGCTGCAATCAAATAAAATTGTTCACCGGGACAAAATTTGGGAATAAAATCAATCAATCAATAACAAGTGAACTTAATAAAAGGTAATTAGTATTGTACTTATTCGCGAAATAACTTAATAGCGGTTACCAGCTGATTATTCAAGCTCAATAGATTAATCTAATACTACTTTGAGAAAGAGCCTCATATAGCATTATGTTAAAACATTAAAACATGAAAGTAGGATACATACGAGTATATATATAATATTTTGAACTTATCAATCTATTTTGTTTATACTGTAGATAATTACTATGGGTATTCAAACAATAACCTTAACACTGAATAGTTTAATAAACGTAAAATTACTCTTCCTTTTCTTAGTTTTCTGAAAACAGTACAATTTAGTTAATTACCTATACAGTATTCAGCGCATTATCTTTTTATCATAGACTACGCTATATGAATAGCACAGAATAAAATAAAATAAATCGATGGAAATAGATACAGGGGCATACAGTATCTTATTAACTGTGTACATATGGCACGATCCTAAAATTCACATATTGCGTTCTATATGGCGAATAATATTTATATATTTTCCTTTTCCATATCAATGACATTCGCCAGACCAACTCTATTTCTACCTTTATCGAAAATGGTATAATAGTTTGCTAAAAATAGATCTCCTAATATCCAAACTGAATGTCTCATGCTAAGGCTATAAAGTCCGCTAATGCACAGTGTTCTTGTCTTCAGTGGAGCCTGATAAGAAAATGAGATATAACACGTTAAGTAAATATACATTTGTCACGATTTGGTAAAACTTCAATTTTCTCTACAATTTTAGTAATAAATTTACCCTCCATATGTAATGCTTTGGTAATAAAGGGAAGTCTTTTCCATTGAAGCGAAAATTAATTACTGGCAGGCTATCTACTACATTGCAATCAACTGCATACTACATGTAAAACAAAAACATTTACGTTATGGATAGGCAAATTAACTATTTTTAGCTCCTACTCATCTTTTAAAAATTGTAAACAAGTGCATGTTTCAGACAAAGCTATAAGTCTTTACGGTATTTATTCCGTAATTATTAATCAATTTTACTTAATGCTGATATATATTTACACTTTCATATTTACCATGTTCAAATTTCGATATTTATTGTATTCTTCACTCCTGCTATCCATCAATTCATCCAAGTTAACAGCATGTATCTCTTGATGAATTCTATCCACTTGTTCTGTAGGTCCTATTATCATACTTGTGCCAGTGTCTATAATTGCCGAACAATCACGATTGCATAATCTGACGTTGTCTCCTTCTTTTCGATCACTACTAACAGTTATTCTTTGAAAAGATTAATTTACATTGGTTATTGCGGATTAAAAATTGGCTAAAATTCATTAGCATTATCTACATATAACTGATTTTAACTGATTGTAACTAATTTTAAACTGATTTTGTATAACTGATTTTAAAGCTTTCATGAGATCTCCAGGAATTTTGAATGATGCAAATATACTGTATGCATATAACAATACTATCAATAATGTACCACTGCAGTAGAAATCTTAGTTCCATTACTATTCGCCTGAAAATTCAACTTACAGATCGAGTTTAATTTGCCAATATGCTTGCTTGATAACTGGAATATAAGTAATTGGGCCTTCGATGTAACTTTTGTCAATGCCACCTAAAATTAGTTCTCCACCCGGATAAGTCGACCCTCTGAATAAATTGAGTAATTAAAAAAAAATTAGCTATTCTCCATTAGTCTGATAGAGCTATTTTTGGAAGTCTTTGATTATACGTATATAGTATAATTGAATGAATAAAATTATACCCACCGTCTAAAATAGAAAGAAAAAATTGGTTGATCAACACTTTTTTGATAGATCATGTTATCAAAAACTGTGTTGGCGTCAATTACTGATAGTTCTCGATATGCCAAGCCGACAAGACCGTCAAAGGCATGAAACCTTGTTTTGCGTCTACTATTGGACCATGACAGTTGAAAAATTTCACTGAATATTTGTTTATATACTGCTATTCCTCCAATCTATTAACGACAAAAATTGATACGTAGTTGAATAATTTTTAAATTTTATTAATATTCTTAAGAGGCTTTATCAAGCTAGTATAGAGATAGTAGGAGGAAAAATTATGTATTGAAAATTGTTGTGAATCTTAACTATAGTCATGGATTACTAGGCACTATACCAAGGTAACGTATCTGGCGGTGCATGCAATGATTTATTTGATAATTTAACCTACCGAAACGACATCTTGTCCAACGAAGCCTTTAACATCACTTATTAAGTAGCGGAAGCTTACAATATAGTTTGATGGACGAAAAGTGGTTGATGCAGAATGATTAAAAGTTTTATGTAAAGCTAGTTCATAGTAAAATAGTTTAAAAGGTGATTAATATAAGTTGTTATAACAGTAAGAACACAACATGCGAGTATGGTATTACGCAAGTTTATCAAGCACAATCTTTCCATAATAATGAGAAGTTACGGTATGTAATGAAAGCTTGTGCAATATGTATTATTTTATCTAGATATTTGAGCACTACTAAAGAAACATTAGGTTCACGACTAACTATAGCAATCTATTTGTGAGGAATTGTTTTCATTTGATTACGGTACACATCCATACACTGAACTTACTGCAATACGAATTATGACATTTTGATGATGGGATCCAAAAATCGGCTGAGCCGGTGTCAAAAATCACTTGAAAAGTTTGTGAAGGCGTTCCAATTGAAATTTCGCCGAAATACTGCATCTGTCATAAATACAAGATTTAAATTTTAATTTATTTATTCGAGTAGTTATAAAATATCCCTATCTAGGAAATCTTATCACAGCTCCTATCTAAATTACAAAAGGACTGTTATTTCTTATAGGCTAGATGTAATCGGCTTAGGAAACATTTATCGATATTTATATGTTGCAATCAAAATGCACAGTGTAGTGTCACTAACATCCAAAAAGTTAGTTAATATCTCCCTTCCATCTCTTTTGAATTTAGAATCCTTCCTATTTTTGTCCATGATATTGTTATATCGACGCCCTATATCATCAGAATTGCGCATCGTGATCTTCTGATTGAGTTGAATCCTTCAAAAAATATAAAATATCCATTTACTAAAGATAACATGTATTTGCTAATAAAAAATAAAGAATTGCATACATAGTAAAACAATTAAGAGATTAAAAACGGTCACTGTAAAACACTTGTAAAATGGAAAAAGTTGCACTCTATGCAATCATTTATTTCAGATTTAATGGTGTCCATTTTAATATACCTTTGAATAGCTAGTGACCTCGCTAGTAGCATACTGAAGATTACTGCCTGAATGATTTGGTAAATCATTTTTTTTTTCAATAATTTCGCGAAATTAAGTACCGTATTCAAAATGATCAATTACTTCGTCTCTACACGGATATTTATTTAATTTTCCCTTAAGTTCGATAGACCATGGCCAAAAAATGAAAAAATAACATGCGCGCATACCTCAATGAAAGGAATTTCACACAAGAATAAATATAACTCTTTAAAGTAGCTTGTAGTATAGAATGAAAAGATAAAACAATATTGTTATTGTTATTGGAAGGCAGTTTGTCTAAGAAGAAATCTGATATTGTTTCATTTGTCACATGTGGACAAATTAAAAAAGAAATGAAGTAATTGTTTATTAATTATATTGAAGTATCAACAGATACTGTTGTAATTATTACAAGACTCTTTTATACCGAATGTACACTGCGGTAAATCTGCTCATTTCTAGAATGAACAAATAACAATGCAATAAACAAATCAAACTAGATACTGCCATTCGCATGTCGATTGAGCCTGCGGTCCGAGATAGTTCATTGAAGCCTACCGCAGCTAGTTGTAGAATAGTACTATCGACATACAACTTTATTTACAATGAATGCGTTGTGAACAGTATCGCTAAACTGGAATCAAATTGTCAACACTACTTGCAATATCAGTAAATTGAATGATTCAATTTAATGTTCATTTCTCAGGCAAAACGCAGTCGAAGTGCACTATACTCGTACCATACAGTATATTGAAATAGAAGTATGTGAATAAAGTACAAAATTGTAATTTCGGGGAGTAGAATTGCATGCTTCATACTCCGATAAATTAGTATTAATTAGTATTCAAGATTCTTTCATTTTAATTAATTATGAATGATATAATAATTATTATCCAGTATTGCCATTTGGAAACGTTATAAATAGTAATAACGATACCAATACAGTAATACTGCCATGAAAAAGAAAGATTGATTAGCAAGCGCACCCGTTTGGAGAAGGAGATGCTAATCCCATTCAGGGATCAACATCAATATAGGGCTCCCCCATATTAATGTCTATGTATCAAATTGATGGGATCAATCAATATCAGTACACGGCTCTCTTCTCAAGTTACATGTACAGTACAATATTACGAAAATAGGGAAGCTATGTAGAGTACATTAGGCCCCGTTCATAATAACCCCGATTACTTAGATACTGGGCATCAATAGCTTAAACGATAATACATTATTGTAGGAGTCTGCACTTCAAATTGGATGCGATTCTTCCAAGAGTAAGACGTTGCACCAACGCAATGAAAGTTAGGAACAACCGACGACAACTATTGAGTTATTGGTAATAGGGGTTACTATGAACGAGCCTAATGTAGAGTACATGTATGCAGTATGTACAGTATACAGTACAGTATACTGTTTGTACTGTAATGTACTGTAGGGAAATGGTATGCAGTACTGTATATTGATATTGATCCGTATTAATTAAGTCAAGGTGCAAAACCTTATAGCGACTATACTTCTTAAAAGTCCCTGTTTCACATCAACCGTGGATTTGTAATATCGAATATCACAGACTGATGAAATTTCTTCAAATCGGGGACTCTGCCGTGGAGGTAAGAGAAAGAACCTCCTCTTTGTCGAATACCATAATGATCCAGAATCAAATTTTGCGCGCTGAAAAGTTGTTGCTTTGTTACAGTACTCAGTACTGTACAGTACTGTACTGCTGCGCAGTGTTCTGGTCAGACCCTTGGAAACTGTGTGTACAGTATAGTACTTTGCAAGAATGCTTTTACTATTTTTGTATTGTACAGTACTGTACCACAGTAGAGACTGTACAAATGTACTGTAGAGTACAGTGTACAGTACTCAGAGTTGGAACACACTTTTGAACTTGAGCTGTACTGTACTGTACAGTACAGTACAGTACTGGACACACTGTACTGTACTGTACTGTACAGTATTGTACCGTACAGTACGATTGACTGCATCCTGTAAAACTGTACTGTAGCATCTTGCCTACAGTAGTTGGTAACGGTACAGTCCCACTGGCAGAGTGGTATTTGCTAGCATTTCTTGGTGATTCGATGAAACACGTCTTATTACAGTCTTCTTTCTATCAAAGCTGCACCGCTGTGGACAACAAAAACAGCAAGACTAGGAAATAAAAAAGTACGGTACGTATATATATTTAATCGTCGACGGTGTACGGTAGTTATTATGAAAAACATTCAAGCAATTTGGACTTGATTGTACTGTATACATCAAGTCTTGCAAAAAGTTTTGTCTCTTGTTAGTCGGACTGTACAAAGTTGCATTTTAATTTTGCTTCATTCGTATGTAGTAAGAGTGCCTTCAACGATGACAGTATTCGTCTACTGTGAGTTAAAATCGATCTCTTACAAAAGTATGTACAATACATACTCTACTGTACTATACAGTACACTTGACGAGTGACTGATAGGAGTCTATGTTCTTCTATCAGCATTATCAAATTGTCCCCATCCCGGAGGGAATGATTTTACTCATCCTGCTTTCCCCGTACCCCTTTTTTTTTCACGTCAATGCTTTCCCAGTATAGTATTTGCTCATTGATTTAAAGTGACGATACTGCTAGTCCCGATAAAGCGTTTCCACGTACGCTACGTCCTTTCCGAGTCAATGCATATAAGAGAGGCTCCGAGGAGCCTCTATGAAAAGCATCTCACTAAAAATGGAAGTGCATTATTGTCAATCAATCCATTCACTTCGTCCATTCCAAGTGGAATTTTCAAAGATCTCTCCAAGCTGTCATTTTGACCTTGCATTCCTTTCATTAGTATTGCTCAATCAGTGGGCATGAGTCATTGGAGAAGTTATTTCGAAGATGAAATCAACGATTTTGGCGGTGGATAAGTTTAGAATTTGAAATCGCGCTTGAACTATAGCTATGCAGTGACAGTATAGTGTCCAATGTTAGTATACGGTACAGTGTACAGTAGTGACAAGTTGACGTCCGTTTTGCCGTAGATGAGCCATAACAAAGCTGACACTACCAGTGCTTCATTCTGCAAACAAAGGCATTCCAGTTTTGGCGCTGGAAAGCACCTTGCGCATACTACGCAGAAGCAGAAGGAACCGCATTGAAAACGCCAAATGAATGCGACCAATCAGCGCTGTCCTACAGTCACATGATAGCGTCGCCTATTGTCTGCATCGAGATACGTCGATAGATATCAGATTGTACTTCATACGCGTGTTGTGTAGACTGAAGGCCACAGTGTGCTGTCTTGAGTGATTTTTTCCTTGCTGAGTTTGACTTCTGCCACAGTATTTTTCTTGCTCAGGTTAGGACTGTAACATGTATCTTAAGTTCAATATCTACAATCCGCTTCCAAATGTCTTTTTGTTATCCTTCCATTTTCAATTACTCCACAAAGATGGCAATCACTATTTTCATTTTGTCTGGCAACATCGTTTTCTCCTTTTTCTTAAACGCTTAACTTTCAAATTTCTTTTGTGAATCCGCTTTGCTAACCGATTGACAATAGGCAATGTTGGCGCTCTTTTTTTTACGGTACTGCTATCGCAAGTCCAGTAACTCAGTCAAATTCTATCTAGATAGGGATAGTTTCAGTAGAGATTGAATGGGGGGGGGGGGGAACGATGTCATTTTGCGAGCTGTATTTTAAAACTATGTATGCATAGATCGTAGTGGTATTCCTTAGTATTTTATGATGGTGTTTCTCAAAAGATGAAGAGTTTTTTTATCCAACTTGTACAGTAGTGATACCATTATATGAGCACGCTAAGAATGATTTCACCCTATGTCTGTTCTAGTCAACATGAATACGAATTGAATTTCCTTGATTTAAAACAGTAAATCAATAGGATTGGTTGTAATGAATGGATCATCTTCTTCCTTTTTTAGGCTATCGAATAGTTGCCAAATAATATTATTCTATCGCAAGCTGATTCCACATAGAGTTGAGATAAGATGATCGAAGAAGAAGTAACTCTTACTCACGAAAAAACCAGAACAGTTGGTACCGTCAGAAAACGACAATTTCGATTTTCTGCCAAAGATGATATCACCTTGTTGACGCAAGTCTTAGCATACAATCCATACTCTGTCAATTACAAGGAAATTGGCAATACTTGGCATGCTGTTGCCAATGGCGTCCGTGAAAATGGATTGGATATCGATGCTACCCGATGTAAGCGCAGAACTGATTTACTATTAACCTACTATAAAGAAGGTAATACGGAACATTTAAGAAAGAATGCTAATGAGGGTGAATATCAGGAGAAGGAAAATCTTTTAAGTCAATTAGCTGCTGCTAAAGTTGAGTCCGAAGAACCAACTGTTACGCCAAAAAGGAGCAAAAAGAGAAAGAACAACAACTCTGAAAGCGTGGCCACATTGCCTTTACTTGATGCTGGATCTTTTACAGTACGCAATACACATGATATTAGTCACCTAGGTAATAAGAAACAATTGGTAGACCTAGGCAGTGTCGATTGTGGCAGCTTGCTAGAATTTTTGAATAAGAAGATAGATGTTGAAGCAGAATCGAGACGCGTCGAAATGCAAAATTTGAAAGAACGCTTAGAATTTGACAGGGAACGATGGAATGTGGAACGAGAAGACATTAGGATGCTGGTTCAACAGAATCAGCTGCTGCTACAACATTTGATCAACACCATTAAAACAGGTCAAGATGTATAAAATAGCGCAGTAATTTACTAGTTAATTATCGATGCGATCCCGGCTCTTGACGTTTTAAATCGCAAATTTTTCTCATAATGTAACCGATCCTGCCTATGCTAGCGAAATAGGCACTTGCATGTCAAAGCATCTTATACCGTAACACAGTATTGGTAGACAGCGCTCGTTCATGACTATTATTATAATACCATACCGCAACAAGTACCCAATTCGAAACAGATTAGAATTTATTCTTATCAAATTTAAGCTGACTGGTTGAAAAGTGATCTTTGTTCAGAAACTGTACTCGTATTTATAAAATTACTATTTCTATGCAGTGTACAATACTGATACATTGTCGTAAATTTAAAACCTTCATTGCTATCTACTTGTACTAGTACTGTATTTGATGATATGTGATTAATTACTGTATTGCAGTGCATAGGGAACAATTTGTTGCACTGATTATTCTGCAATGCATTTTATTTGCTCCCTTAAAGTATAGTACTAGCATAATAGTAGGGATGCTTGAGTGATACATTCTTGGAGCTAAAGGTGTTTATTCCCATTTTCTGTCAACCCGAAAATTCATATTACATGAGCATCTGTTATAACTTGCGCATTATTACTGGACTACTGTAGTATCTTAAATGTGTAGCTCTTCAAGAATAATTTTTCACTAACATCAATCTTTAAAACTTCTTATTAGACGTCCATTAACTATCATTACTAACACCAGAATAACTTTTATTCAATCAAAAAATAGATGATGAGTAAATCATTGAAGAGAAAAGCTGCAGAAGTACGCATACTCTCCTTCTTAAGACTGTGATGTCCAAATATCACTCATTCTGTACGTGTTAGATCGCCGTGTTATACTGTTGTTTATTTCTCATTTGCTATGTTGTACTATACGGTACAGTATTATATTTTACCATTCCTAATTTTAGATCTTCTTAATATTATTATTCTGTAATTTAACGGATTTATCACTTGTACTTCGTGAATATTTATCAGCATTCACGACTGTAATTTCAATTAAAGATGACTCTTAAGTGAGTTATAGCTTAACGTAATTACGTGTTAATATTTTATATCCCGGATTAATTAAATGAAGTAGTACTGTACTTTAGTGCTGTTACAAAATTACTATAAAGTACCTGTTGACCCTAGTGCAGCTAGCAGTACTTTATACGCTAAACCTCATTCTAAGTTAAAAAATTAGCATTACAACGGATATTAAGTTGGATAATGTAGCCAAGGATTGATGGTTAGGTTTAGCTGTTTCAAGATGCAATTAAGTTTTCTAAATATGTCATGGAGTAGCAGTTTTTGCTACTATGAAACGGTAACCAGTAGTAGATGAATGCAGAGCCGCTAGACTCAAGTTGAATCCCGCATAATGTGTGCTCTGTGTAGCCTGTTGTATTCGCGATTTACAGTTAGATTTTTAGCAGATCGCTATATGTTGTTACGTATACGGTGGAAACATTCACTTTTATTTCTCCGATAATTATCTGTAGTAACCACAGTAAGAAAGTTGTAAACTGTTAGATACAACAAAAATAATTGAGTCGACGTCAATAACTAACTTTCAGTATTGCAATGGTGCAATGCACAATACGTAATTAATTAAAATAGAGCTTGAAAATTAAAAACACGGCAGTAGATAATTCTCGTATGATTTCATCTTTAACTTTTGCGGTATGATATCAGCTGTTATTATTGAAAAGCCATAGTAAAATTGTGCCTCTGGCTAGGGTTAGTGCTTACGTTTCGTAAAATTATAAATCTCGTCTAGTAATGCTGTAATTATAACAATTAAATTTATGCATGTAAACACGGCAGATTTCAGCAAATGTTAAATGTTTAATGAACAGCTAGCGATATGATATGTGATAAGTAACAAGTCCTGTAATGCAGATTTATGAATTATGACTGCTGCTAAATAAAAACTACGAGAATAAGCTTGGTCTTGATTGTGACGTCATTTCTCGATGGTATTCCAGACTGTAGTTACTTTTACCTTAGTCTTTATTTAATATTATTATTCGTTGTTTCATTCAATGTTATCGGATACTTTAAAGTAAAATTTTGTTTTGCAATGTGCAGCATACGTACAGTATGTCGTAGTTGTTAACCTAATACAATTGTGTGATATAAGCGTAAATTAATTCTCCAGCCATTGATTGTTTGTTATCTTTGGACCAGAATTAGAATGTGTACTTTTTGCAACCATTAAAACTGATCAATTAACCCGTACATCATAATGTCATGAATGTATACCGCCACCACTGTGTACAGAAGCGTAGTTAGTCAGTAAGATCTGTACTACAGTAATATACCCCTACAGAATAAAGTCATCACATTTCCCAGGTCACTTACTAGCTGTGCTTTACCGTGCATACAAAATAGTATTCAGTGCATTTAAACAGTTAAAAACGTACGGGGTAAACTTGGATTATGAAGATGATTAGCTAGAAAGCAATAGCATACGTATTCGAGTTCTATCTTCAGAAAATTAGGGTGCATTGTTTTGCATAAAGTACCTTCTTAGTGTGAGTGAAATCGAGTGAGTTACGCTGCAAAATGCTTGCATGATCCAATTTTATGAACTAAAATCTATTGGCTGCTGACACACTCGTATATATTAGTGGGCATCATAAATTAACTAAAATAACGACGGCATTAGTAATTAGAAAAGTAGGTAACAATATATCCCTAACTACTCGTATATCAGAGTTCAAGTAATGATGCCAAATGTGATGATCATGATCGTTCGTACACATATAAGCAGAATCTGTTATGGATATGAATAATAAAAATAAATAACTGCCACATTTTAATTAAGTTGCAAGTAACACATCCCAATACAGTACAAATGATGTTTCGGCACCTCATACTTCTCATTACAGTAAATTGTTTGTGGGACTATAGTAATTTCAATATCTTAATTTCTTCCTAAAATTATCATCAGCCATCGAATGAGCTCAGCTGTACGGGTTCTCGAATTCATTCCATCAGATTTAGCCTCAAGATAATAGACAATTCCCGAAACGTCTTCCGTACCATACCGACAGCCTGGCAAAAGACATCACATTAACAGATCAGTATATCTAATTAACAGACTAACGACGGTACGAACCCAGTATCTAAGAATGCATACTACAATTTACCAACTAGGCCACTCGATATTTCGTCTATGATTGCACTAGGTATAGCTTTGCTAATGTCCAATTTAATCTCCGATATAATTCCTTTTCTTATCACAACTGAAATTGTCTTAATCACAACAGTTGTTTATCGCAGTCAGTAATATTAATCTGATATGGGTTTAGCTAATTTAGTAAACAATCACGCAAACTAGTATTTATTTTGCCTACAAAGACTTAGAAATCATACAAACCACTTTTCCCATTGATAAATTAGAACTTTGATGTATTTCGAAATCAGGAGTCTTACCGTAGATCCAATCCCAACTCTAAGCCACAAATAATAACAGTTACTTGACACCTTACAATTGATTTTAAAGTTGCTATCTATTTCAATTCCACAAGGGGAATACTCATCTGCATAAGCTAGCGAATTTTACCTTCAATTCATTTCTTAATGATGCGATACCAGGATAATTAGACTCAGTGTTAGGATTGATATCGAGAAGTTCCTAAGAATACAAAGATGGAAGGATGTATGTGCAAGTGAGGTAAAATTTCTACATTAGATAAAGGCAATGAGTTGTCTCGAAGGTAAAGTTCTGTAACAAATCCTACGTAAGTATTACCTCATTATTTATTTTAGGGTGAAAAGTCTTCGTAAAGGTTGATGCTATTTTGGAACATAAATTATCATAGGTAATAGCATTATTGATCTGAGATAAGTTTATTACGGACGATCTTACGCTAGCAGTAGCATTTGACCTAAGTCCATTCTAATAAAGGATTTGAAAATGGTCAATCAGTTATTTCGCTCCCTGAATAAAGGAGCGATAGGCTCTCAATAAAATCAGATGCAACTCCTAGTTGTTATTTTCCTACCGTATGAGGCGTCAGCATCTGTGCTAGCTGCTGTAATTTTGAATGAAATAATAAGGTAAAATGATGATAAGCTACTAGTCTTCCTAGACGTGAAGCTGAACCAGATATTTCCGGCTGGTTAAAGAAATTCACATGGAGCGAATACACGTAAGTTGTATCAAAGAAATGAAAAGTCTCGTTCATTAAAAGTATCAGATTATATAAAAAGATATTTTAGATGTCCCATTAATGACGAGGTCGCTTCTGTCATTTACGCTGATATCAAGATTCCAAGTCTCTTTTAAGGCGTTTGCGATCATTTCTAAATTTCTTTTTCTATCATATTGGCTGCGATGCGATACAATAGTTACGTTCAAATTACCCAAATCCTGTGAAATGTACACATATACAGCTTATCATGGTAAAGCCATTGAGTAGATCAATTAAGTTAGTATGGTTTATAAACCAAGACTTGATTGAAAATGTAAAAGTTCCGTATCCTAGCAGATAGTTTGAGAAGGTTGTACTACACATTACAAAGTTACTTACATGATAAACTGCCCCTCCACCACTTCTCCTGCGCACCAACGGAACCTGATCTGGGTAAATTCCAACCAATTTTGAGTTGCATTCAGTCCATGGATTCTGATGTCGTCCAATGACTATACATGGATGATTTCGATAAAGATACAAGAGTGGATAGTGTTGCGATCGTAGTGGATAATTTTGGTAGAACCAGTCATCTAGAGATATATTGACGTATGGATTGTGCGAAACCGAACGGAAAGCTACGGCCTGAGAAGATGATACAAGCATTATTGTCCATACAGTAATAAGAAAGAAGAATTTCTAACAATTACACCAATACAAGGTACACCATGGAAACAAATTGTCTTACTTTACAATATGTTTACGAATGCATTCAAATCCGCTGGACTATCCAGCAACAGTATTGGCAATCATTACCTGAGCTAATGGCAGATGCAAGTTTCGACTGATGATCTTATTGTAAGACGTGGCCATTAATATACTTGAGTAATCATTTCGATATGATTGAATAATTCATGATACTCTCTTTTTTATTCTAGTTCATATAATTAATCAACCAGTTCAGCGATTGGATTTGCAAAACTAGGTAAGCAATAAGCATGCAAGCGAGCTCCACTAAGCAGTCGCAAGTCTCTGCAGTAGCAAGCTGACCAGGATTCTCCAGTACTGTCATAACGAGGAAATTACTATAAAGGATTAATATGCAATATACGGTACTGACAGTATACTACTGTATGCATACTGTCATATTGACTATACACTATACTGTACACTAGAGTATTGGAGGACACTGCTCTACATACAGCTTTGTACCCAATGAATGACGGGATTCAATCTGATTTGCAATGATTTATAACCTTAATAATTAATTTTTGGACTAGGGGAGCCGGTAACCACTACTGCACTGCAAATGAATTCTAGTTAAGATATCAATCTTGTTAGGCTTGTGCATAGTAAAACTAGAGATCACTGAACAAGATGGTTAAAATTAAATTTTTCGATATCTTCGCTTATGGTTACAAGTTAATAATTATTCTAGCACACCAATCTTGAACGTTAGTTGATTCATCGACGGTAAACCTTGTGGGGAAATAAATAATTCCCAAGAGATAGACATAGACTCGTTTACATACAGTACACATCAGTCAAAAGCATATCGTCAACAAAATAACGTTTAAACTAATCTTTTCCCGGCTGTCTTTAACTTACGATGCAGCAGAGACCCTAAAAGGATATATCTATATATATGGACGGCTAAAGTAGATGGACATTGGACAGTACATAATTCGATAATTAATTAATAGGATGTATTTGCAGATTCGAGTCGGGAGCGCAACATCCGTGCTGGCTTGCAATGATTTAAGTGAACTTAATTTCATATTATTGTCAATAGAGCATGTAGGCAGTGTTGCACATTTAGTGAAACACACGGGAAAAATTGCACTAAATCTCATTTGTAAACGCTTTCCACGACTTGGAGTTCTCCATAAATTGATCCTTTACTGTACTATGGAACATTCACTTAATCATCAAAGTGGCGGATTGTTATTCGATAATTCATCACGTTGTTAAGCGATTTATGTAAATGTTATATACTACATGTAAGCAATAATATTGGATATCGTAACAGTCTATTGCATAGCCTGTATATACAACACTAAAGGAAAATGATTTTATGCCCTTAATAGATACATACAATCTATCACCACTGGCTCCAAAATAATTTCTCCAGTATTCTCAAATTAAAAGATGTCCTTAAATGGAAAGAAATTTCACTTTTTTTTCATCCTAATTAGTAACTGGTCAAAACTGTAATTAACATTTCATTATGGCTACCATGAAAAGTATCTGTCTTGTGTATAAATATAGTACTTGGTGGGCGATTAAGTTTAAAATAACAGAAGCAGTGATATCTATTTTTTAATAAATGCGCAAATTTACAGCTATCGAGAATTGATTAGCCATCAATAGCTATTTAATGCAATTCTTGAGATGTGGAAATCGCACAATAACGAGTCGTTAGAGCCCACATCAGTCTCACTATGCGTTTGATAGTACTAGCAACATTTGGACTCATTTCATCAATCTCTTCAGTTTTTTCTATGGTACATCTAGGACAATTTTTAGCTTCACTACGAAGAACAGGTGAGCCCTGTTATTGCAATTGATCTCCTACCCTAGTATATGTTATAACAATATAAAATTTATGTTAAACGGCATTAATACGCTATTTTTATATAACACTCGTATATAAATTTGTTACACTCTATATACGTTAGAGCTTAGACACTTTTTCGAAAATTATGTTCAAATTTTTAATAACGACGCTGACAGCAAGATCTATCCCCTTTCAGTTGTGCCTCAAATGGCAAATAAGGCCTACTACTTGCTTTAAATTTTTAGGTAATGCCATCAATTGCATTGATATCACGAATTTATATCGCATTGGATATGATATGATATTATTAAGCCAATTTATACTGTTACATTCAACAATGGCCACCCATTTGTTTAAAAGCATTTTTGCACACTGTAACATATCGTTTGTCGAGAGATCTATGTATTCATTTATAACTTCATTATCTTTAGAGGTAAGATTTTGTACTTGTAGGTTTATAAATCTGTTGAAAGTACAACTCTCGCAGATTGAATGCTTGTATGCTCATAATTATAATCGTAGCTCATTATCCACAACTGGTTAACCGTTAATTATACCGTATGGATGTTCAATTGTCCTTCCTTGTCGATACTGTATTGGCTTGGATGCATTTTAAGCGTAGTATCAATTTTCCAGCTGGATATTTTGGAATTACTCGGCATTAAACAGGTATTACTAATGCAGTTAATGGAATGTGATAAAATTCTAAAATATCTTAAGAAATGACTGATGTTTGTGCGATACATGAATAGTAAATATTTGCATCAAGTAGCAGTAAAGTATTACATCATAAATTACTGTAATGAAATGCTAATTTTTTAATACTCTTTCCAATCGAATGGTGTAATACTCGTACATTTGATATACAGTATTTATTTTTTCCATTTTAACAACGTAGATCCATCACTACATATGCAAATTCAAAAAACCGATACAGTACAAATCGCAACCTTTGCAGCGGCTACTGATTGGCACAAGGCATCCATTCCTAACTGGTCCCCTTTTGATATTATGGAGTACGCGATACATGTATTTGGATCGACTGCTCTTTTCAACTGCCATGACTTTGTACCTATTTCACGGCTACATGATCGATTTGAACGATGTACACTATATCAAACTCCAATTACTAAAGATGCTGAATAATTTCATAAATGGGGGCTAACAAGCGTAATGAACTTTTGGATATACGCATAAGTAATAATATTACCGCTGGTGGAAGACATACGTAGTATTTTAACAGATACTTTATTTCACATTGAAGTAACTTTTAGTCAATAGTAAGATAACTAATTTACTCGTAAATGCAAAGAATTTAATCAACCATTTTCCATCTTTGAATTTAAAAATTAGGTGATGGCACCCAATGGTCAATACGAATATTTTACACTGTTTGCGAAATAGTCGATAGATTCTTGCGAATTAAATGCAAGTTATTTTTCCATTTAAGCAAACGCTCGCCTATTTGCTTCAACTCAGCTTTACCAAATGTTCGACTTTTGACCCACCTGTTAATCAACAGAGTATGAAATTTTAATTCATCAAACGCAACGGCAATTACTGTTATCGAAACTTAAAAATATCTAATAAAGACATACTTTACGATGACCTTCTTTTCTTTCTCATCAATTTTTGCACTGATCAGTTTACAACTTATAGCTATATGATTGCATAAAAGTTGTCATTGTTAGTATACAGAACGCATTTCTACATATGCACTCGTATAGATATGGCTTACCGTCAATAATATACTGTTCTAAGCTATCCTCTTCCAATGCCAAAGCTGCAGCTAAGTCATCAAAAGTAGCAGCATCACCAGCTTTAGCAATATGCGAGGTAAGTGTTAACAGCCTCATCTTTCGTAAATTTTCTTCATGAGATAAACCTTCAGTAAAAATAGTAGAATAGCTTAGTAAATGACAAAGGTTTACATCATCACCATCTTATTGTTGTACCTATGGATTGCATAAATTCTTTACTCTTTTCGTAAAATGCTACATAAGATTTCAAGTCTTCGTGTATGAAAATGTTCAAAAGCTACGGAAAAAGCAATAATATTGTAGTGCTATTGTTAGACAAATCATTGCACAAGCATCAGCTATAGCGAGTAGTAACTTTACTGACATCATAGAGCAATTCGCCACGCAAATTACTGATAGGCTTCAATGCTAGCAGGTAATCAAATAGGTAAATTTCCGGATTCTTTAGTGCATCGATGACACATATTTTAGCATCTTCAACCGATGAAGCTATATTATGATCATCGTAGGAGCGTAATAGTTCAAGCATAACAACAGCAGCTTCATCGCTGTAGTCGTTGAGAATAAAATGATATAATTATTCATATGAGAACTGAAACTAACTCAATGATAGGAAAACGGATTCCATTGCAAGCATAATGCAAAAAATAAAAGCTTTTATATTAGGAGTCTTACTTGCGTTGGCTGTCGATAAAAATATCTCTTATCAGTCTGTAAATGATGATGCGTCCATCACGTTCAACTTTCCAAGTATCAAGCAGCTTCGAGACCTAATATACATTGTAAATAAATAGGGTAAATGATATCGTTAGCAGAGGTATAATTATGCCACAAAAGCTGACATTACAGACTACAACTGTTGCAGCGCTATTTGCATGAGAAGTAATGGACACATAAGCGAGTTTGCTTCAAACAACTCTCCAGTTGACACAAAATACAGTACTAAGCTATAACAACACACTACTACAATTGGAGAATATATTGATACGCTCTATGATAAATTATATAATCAGCGAATAAAATGATGTTATTCGTGGCTATGACTCCGTACTACATACAGCAGCCCTCTAGGCACTACATCATTTTTAATTGTAAACTTACTTCTTGAATATCAGTCATTACTCGGTCGTGTAATTTATATTGTTTGGCTAGCTTTAAAGATGTTACGAATATCTCGGTCTTTTCAAGATCGCTGGTTAACTCGTAGAAGCTTAACGTTTGTAAACTAAATAGACGAAATAAGTAATAAGACGTAAGGGTAAGATTAACGTCAATTAGAGAATGTTGCATGCCATATATTTTGACAGTTTGATGGAATAATACTGTTACTATAATACACTTACATTTCAAGGCGGATGCCAGCGTTGTCTTGTTTTCCATTCTGTTCAAACATCGAGCATAGTTTGGAAATGTAACCGGTTAAACCGCTTTTCATGCATTTCATCAGCAAGGTGCATAAGCTGTATAATGCACTTCTCATTTCATCTGTTATTGAATGAAAAGAAGTGAATACTTTGTAATAATCATGGCTAGAATAATCATACAGTCGGCGTGTAGAGTACAACTCCAATAGTAATTGATCGATTTAATTGTTTGCGTAGGCAGTCGGTTGTACGAGTTGGTAAAATTAAAATATTCTGCAATGACCCTAGCAATACTAGATCTTGATCTTTTTTATAATAGCATATTCTAAGAAAACATCTAATTCACCCATAAAAAAATTCATTCATTTTAATGTTTGTAATGATAACTTGAATCTAAAATTAACCTGTATCTACTTGACTATCCAGTAAGGTGGTGATCCCCTCCATGATATCATTAAAGTCAGTTGGCAAATCATCCGAGACTTCCTCTTTCACATTCGCTCCTAATGAGAGCAAGTATATCTTCAAGTGCAAGCACTATCAAGAAAGAAATTTCATGTTAATCAATTCATCATCGATCGTGGTTGTGTTCTCTACACTCTTTTGGCGAATAGTTATCCTTGCTAAAGCCTGGAATCCTCATTACAGTTTTATCCATCCTACGTCGAGTTCATTTTGCTCAATACTTTTGTTCCACTGCGGGCGAACTCCTGTACTGTACTACTCAAACATCTGTACCAGAAGCATTTTAATCAAGGCAGGCTGTAACACTGATCGCATGTCTTCTTATAGTATGAACTGTTAATTCATTCAGTTGTATCATTACTTGGATTTAGTATCGCACTTGGAAGATATTTATTAATCCATTGACTATGATAACAGAAAGGAGAGCTATCTCCCTTCCCATTCTGGACTACCACTGCAGCGTCCGAAGATGATCACCTACGACGCTATCCTCATGCTGTTAGCCTACCTGATCCGAATCGGAAACAGAACCAATGTAAGTTACAGATGCATTTGCAACATCGCGGGTGCTCAGTGAAGCCGTTTCACCGTCTACTGTTGGCATTTTTCTATCTTGAATTGATGGTTGAAAAGTCTTTTGAAAGCTTCGATGATAAGTAAAGCAGTGGAAAATGGCAGCTACCTTCTCGATTGCCAACGTTTGTTCGTCAACACGCTGGCCAAATCAGACGGTGGCGATTGCGGATGCATCGGTACTGTATCGTTACGGTAACGTACCAGTACCAGAAAGAAGAGAGCGCATCCATACGGTACGATTACCGTGCCGAACCGTACCCAATCCGTAACGGTACGGTAGAGTACCCATACAGTACTGTCCTGTACACTGAGTGTACAGTACAGTACAGTACTGTACAGTATGTAGGCGAACGACATCGTCTCCATCTACAGTACTATACAGTAGTGCAGTGTACTGTACAGTACTGTACTGGACTGGGGGCGAGCGACATCGTCTCCATCTACAGTACAGTACTGTACTGTACAGTACATGTTGAGAACTGTGCATTTACAGTACTGTACTGTACTGTACAATGTACTGTACTGTACAGTACTGTACATACTGGACTGGAGACGAGCGACATCGTCTGCATCTACAGTACTACGGTACAGTACATGTACTGTGCACTTACAGTACATACTGTACTGGACTGGAGGCGAGCGACATCGTCTCCATCTACTGTACTGTACTGTACTGTACTGTACAGTGCTACAGTACAGTACTGTACATGTACAGTACTATGCACTTACTGTACATACTGTACAGTACAGTACTGGACTGGAGATGACAGTCACACGTGGGCTCGACATTACGGTACTGTACACTGTATTGTACTGTACTGTACTGTACTGTACACTGTATAGTGCTGTACTACAGTACTGCACTGTAGCCAAAAAGTCAAGAGCCAACGCGTCTGTCCGGTGGACGTCTGTGCGGCACGCTTCTTCAAGATCGCTACGTCACCTGTGGGACCCTGGTCTGATCACTTTCCGCTTGATCACATATTCACACATTATTGTACAATACGACGCTAATGCGTTGTCGCCATTATGGGTAAGAAGGAAGACTAGAACGATTTTTCCAGTCATTACATGGCATTTGTAGATATTCATTTAGTCACATTATTCCACTCATTTAATATTTGTATTCCTTTAGGATCTTTCTTCTCCAATCTCTTTTCCTCGTTATGGGGCTCGAAAGAAATACGAATTCTAATATTAGGCTTAGATGGTGCTGGTAAAACTACAATTTTGTATAGGTAAGCTGCATTTTCTTTCATGCTTTGCTGGATGTCACAAAGTCAAGCATACTGGTCATATTAGTCATTACTGGCCAAGACATCAACACAGCTGAAGAATGCAATCATTTGCCATGTCTTCCATAAACACTGTATTGATAACTTGAACCCCAGTAATGGATGACAAGTTCGCCTAGTCTCATCAGCAACAGAGTTTTTCAAGACAAGGTTGAAAAATTTCTGCCATCCATACGCTTACCATGATTGATGAATGCCCAATTTGCTTGTAACCGGAGTCATGCCAGTGATGTTCTTCACTGCTAAGACTAGGAGAATCGATAACATATGAGCATGGATGCTATCTTAGCCATTTTGTGCCTTGATGCTATGTAGTCTTAAAGAATGATCACTGAGCATCATCAATACCAAGCATGATCGACATCTTCATCCACTATGCTGACGTGGACAGTCCAATGACTCAATGAATGTGGTGGTATTGCGCATTTTCAGTTCGACCAGTAAAAATCTACTGGACGTTCTGGCAGTCAATGAAAGTGGAATTTCTACTTGGATGCAATTGAGGGATAAAGATTGATTTAATTTGAGTCATACTGTATGGACAACAAGGATATTGCTATCATTCCTCCAGTATTATATATGCAGTCTACTATTTTATTCCTTTGGTCACAAAGGCAACGTCTTGTTCTATCTTAGTCTGCTTAATAACTTACTATTAGTACAGAACGGTAACATCCGCCTTGCTGTAGTTCCTACATTCATTCTTTAAAACCAATACCGTTCGGCTATTTGGTCAATATTAAAATGATACACAGGATATCCCTAGGTACATACTTAGCTAGGCAATGGCAGTGTATAGTGATAATGTCATGAAGCTGAAAGCATCAAACTTGATCGATTCATAACCTTGTGCGTGTACGATGCTATTCCTTTGACGTGAACACCATCGATTGAAGATAAAATGATCCCTGGTGACTACTAGGCTAGGGCTAACGTACACGATACAGTAATGACAATCAAATAATTATAATCACCTTAACTTCCATCTGCAGTAGTATCGGTAAAATGATGAATGACTATCCACTGTGACTTTATGACTGGCCAGGATCAACCCCCAACTCTCCCTAGAATGCTGTAACAACACCGAGTTTTCGAGTGGAAAATTAAAGAGGAGATTGCATATATGTAGTTACAGTTGATCATGGCAGTCGATGCAAGCAGAAAGAGGATAACCATGCTACTGACTTGGAATAGTTGGCAGTATTTATTACTAGATGATTTTGGACACTGACACAGTTTCGACAAGACAGTACAGGACATTGTTAGGAGTAGGTCCATTACTTGATCGAATAGTGTACTTCCGAATGCCACTAGTGGCATAGTAAAAGCCTACATGGCGAAGGTGAACGCGTCCTTGTATAGCGAATGACTAGACCGATCTTTTCTTGTCTTGCACAGACCATAGGCAAATAACAATGGCCGGCAAGGCTACTTGTGGACATATGCTATTTGATCCTATTCTATAAGGCAGCATAACTTATACGTTATGTTAGCCATTAAGGTTTAGCTAATATTATAAGTACTAAATTGCCTTCTTCTCTTCTGTTAAGGCTTCAAGTTGGTGAAATAGTTACAACAATTCCAAGTAAGTTTAGCGCAAATTTTAAGTTGTGATCGTAGATAATTAGCAAGACTTTTCAACGCTGTATAGTGTAGTTAGTAGAGGTAGTGTTTTGCTAGAATTTGATTGAAAGTATAGAGTATGATTGTATAGTATTAAATGGAGTCAATGATATGGCGAAATGAGTTGCTAGCTGCTTTATACCACTTTTACAGTACATTGGTGTGCTCTAATGTATTGATTGATTACAATACTTTTCGTCGTTATGTTGTACTATTTCGTCCTGTTTTCAAAATCGATTAACAGTTCTGAAAAAGTATTATTATTACAAAGTAGTTCCATTTTCCAAGAATGAATTGGCATTGTCATACTTTAATTTCCAAAATTATTGTTTCATATTAGCGATCGGATTTAACGTTGAAACCGTTACATACAAGAATTTAAAATTTCAAGGTAAGCCATAGCATTGCCGTTATAATAAGATATAAATACAGAGCTAAATATCGAAAAGATAATTTAAAATGGCACCAGTTAAGAAGTTTCCAGTACGATTATCATCGCAGATGGTAGTATGATGACAAATAGTATAGTAACATAACGCAAAAATGACCATTGGATGTCTTGGCGTTTACATTAGCTTCATTGAATGATGATGCCTTTGTAACTGAATCAATTTCTTCTTCCCTACTTAAACCTGAACGCAAAGCTGAAACTACCGCTGTGACACCTTTTTTTATTTAATTACATTATTTAAATTGCTATTAACTTGGTTTTGCTAAGAAATGGAGAGGAAATCGATAATGCCATATACAATACATCATAAACTGATGACGTAGTAGCCAATTTTTACACAACTTGTATTGTTGAATTCATTTTCATCAATCTTAGCTTATTATAATTAAATCTTTTGCTTCTATTTCCAGTATGGGATCTGGGAGGACAAACGAGTATAAGGTTTGTAAGTTTATCGGTTATACTTTACATTTTGTATCTATGCAACATGAAATGCCTACAACTGTTAAAATTATTGTAGGAAGACTATTTTTACATCAACTATAAATGCAAGCAATCAAGTACAATATCATAGCAATGCTTTTATTTTATAGGCCTTACTGGAGATGCTACTACTCTAATACCGATGCTATAATTTATGTGGTGGATAGTATGGATCGAGAACGTATTGGCGTATCCAAAGGAGAATTAGTAGCGATGTTAGAGGTAAACTGCCATTACAGCAATACTACCGTGGCATTCATTTCCTTTAAAAAGTATCAATAATTCGTATCAATATTTGTTATATTACTTGCAGGAAGAAGAGTTATCAAAAGCTACCCTACTAGTATTTGCTAATAAACAGGTAAGTCATTCGACGTACACTACACTTACTGTACGTAACGTACATTACCAATGCATACAGTATAACGATTACCCATCTACGCTAAAGGATAGAATATGTATCATGTGTTATGTGCTTAATATCAAATTTAAATTGATATTTTATAGCAACCTAAATTTTAGAACATTAACAGTTTCTGCATCTATGTAGTTGATCCAGTTTGTAATTCAAAACATTAAGAATCCTCGCTTACAAATGTGTATTGACGTAATAGGATATAGATGGTTGTATGACAGCAGCAGAAGTAAGCAACGCTCTTGGATTACCAGCACTTCGTGATAGACAATGGCAAATTTTCAAAACTTCAGCAATAAAGGGAGAAGGACTCGATGATGCTATGGAATGGTGGGTATTATTCGCGTATTACTATTTTACATCGAAATTATATTTCAACGATCTAACATAGATGTTTATTTCCATTCATCTAGGTTGATTAATGCGTTAAAGGCTAAACAAAATTAATTATGTATATCTCTTCTAGCCATAATAAATGTTTTGATACAGAATGTCATTGTCACCAACCCTCTCGCAAGCTAAATGTTATTTAATGAATACATATTTGACCATAGTGCAGTCTGCTGCATCCATTAGCGAATACGTTCGGGTAATGCCGGCAGATTACTGTTCGCTAAATTTTTATTTTTAACAATTATTAGCGATGCCATTATACAGCAGTGTATTACATCTTTTTATTAAAATCCCTTTAGTACAGCGTTGTTAAAATTTTTTTGTTATAGCAATATTTAATATAAAGCTCTCTTCAAACTATAACACTAGATAGTTATCGCTGTTTGTCCTATAAACTTACAGATGGATTTGTTCCTTCCTACTGTACTGTTGTGCTACGTTATTACTAAGATGTCTCCTCCTATTACTATCGTCGTATGCACATGTAGTCACATTAATTAACTAATTATGCTCATTCAGCTAACGCTTTCTGGCTATCGAGACAAAAGCAACGTCGTACGTTTATTAATTTGATTAATTAAGTCATCTTTATTTTAATCCACTTTTCGCAATTATCTTTTATTTACTGTAATGAACTTGAAAAATCTGATAATACTTGGTAGACTATATATAACTGACACTTGGATAGGATATACAATGTAACGGCAAAATATAATGTAATCACTATATAAAGCAGTCATGTGTAGCTAAGACTGTCGACAAGGAAAAAAGCAAAACTGTCACCTCGTTAAAGGTTAGGAGTATGTATCTTCATGGATACGTATGATTCAAGTAATTGTCTCATCTCCAACATTTAACAAAGAATAAGTATATCTTCGAATGCATAATTAACATGCATCCAAATAAAGAAAATTATTCATCTACTAATTCAAATCGATCACTTTTTACCACGCGAGGTCTCCAAATCTTGTAATAAGTTTTTCTTGTTCTTTTAAATCTTTCTGGACTTTCTTTCGCATATAAAATACCGGACAGTCTCGACTATTAAGATTATTTAAAGTGAAAATAATGTCAAATTAAAAATTGAATATTTTAATTTCTTAACGACATGATTTTAATAAGGAGTCAACAAAGGATTACAAAAGTTTCCAATTTGGCCTAACTAATTAATTATAAACAGTCCAATCGCTTTGTACCTGGTACATAGGACTTCCTCACATAAACTCCCTTGGCATCGCTGACACTGCGTCCACAGTTTAGCAAATCGATTCTCATGCTCGGACAAATGATTCATCTATGATGGATAAAATTAATTAATTAACCAGTTTTAACGAACGTAAATTGGACAAAAAAATCTTGAATTCATTCAATTTTAAGTCACCTCTCTCTGGAATATTTCAGATTCTCTATGGCGGCAATGCTTGCAAACTGCACCTATTAAAAGTTACCATCAAAAATTACTATAATTCAATCAAAATCATTTGCAATAAGAACTTCTACTGTCGGCATTAGAAATCTTACTGTTATCATCGAGAACTGCTTTACAACCCATACAAGTTTCGCGTTTTTTTACAAATGCCGATAAACGCCCAAGTGACGACGTAACGACAGTTTTTGTTAGTGTGTGATCGCCCTCTGCCAGAATTTAAAACACCGGATAAAATAGATGCAAACTAATTAAAGGGCTATATCAGAAGAACTTTACTGTCAGTTTTTAAATTAAGTATTCATTGCATCTTTTTGGAATTATAATTTAACCACCAAATCGGCATACTTAGTAAAATCGATTCTGCCTTATTTTCACCAAGAATTGGCTCAAAAATTCTAAGCAACGGCTTTGAAAGCTGATTTTCAAGGTAATAAGTGGTGTCTATAGCAATACTATTTTCAAGAGCGTACACCGGATCCTAAAAGTGAAACATTACGCTATTAGATAAATACACCCTTCCAGTGGCTATTGAATTATAGTATCTTATTACCGACCTCAGATCTAGTATAAGCAGCAGCTCCTCTTGCTCCGGTAATAATTACATAAGGAACTCGATCGCCTAAGGTTGGACATGAGCTCGGATCGCGTTTACGCATTCTAAAGGGAAAAATACAATGGCGTAATATCTTACTCAAAAATACTACAATTACAATATTTTTATTATATCTATTTATAAAGAAAACAAAGGGTATTCTTACTTGGCTGCAAGTTCAACATGAGCTTGTTTTCCGGCGTATTCATCATCAGATCTAGTTAATTCCTTCGTAATAATTAACTGCGAGATATCAATTCTGTTGCAAAGTAAGTCTGAAATAGTTTGTTGAACATGCTTTATAGCCGAATCCGGATTTCTAATATTGTGCAAATAAAAATATAACGCAATAAGTATCCGAATTGAGAGGAATTAACTACTAAGTAAATTCCAGCTCGTTTGCTGACCTATCAACCAATAACTTTTGTAAGCAAGCATTGATTAAATTGGCAACAAGGGGACAATTATCTCGACGTACCTATTACGTGACAGTCAAATCGTCAAATATATATATATATACCGATTTATATACCGTTTATCAATACTACTAATTCAATCTAGACAGATAATTGGTATAAAATTGTAAAAGTAAAATAATTTCTAAATGATATTTTGCAAAACAAGATCTACAATACTTAGTCACATACAGTTTCTATTCCTTTGCAATCTACTTTGTCGTACGTATCAGCTTTAGTAAAGTAAAGTCCAGCATATCTCTTCTTATTTATTAACAGGTAAGGGAAATATACCTAAACCAAGTAATGTCAATTACGATTAGGACAACATCAGTACCCCAACTATAATTGTAATTATTGTATATGTCAGTGCAATACGGAATGTATAGCCCCATTATCGTACAGAAATTTATACCTTTTCAAACTCTAATTTAATTGGGCTAGGGAAATGCGAAGATATGTAATTAGCGGCCTCTTTGCCTAATTCCATACTCTCTTCTACCGTATCTAATCCAAATTTGACCATAACGGAATCAGTATCTCCGTAGATCACCTACAGCATAGTTTAATAAGTAAGAATTTTGGCAAACTCTTAAAGTACAGCAAGATTTGTAAACGAAATACCTGAGCATCAAATTTGTAGCCGTTTTTAATTGTATATCGCTCTTCCACAAGCTGCCGTGATTTCTCAATCATTTGTCGCCCAAATGCTGTAACACTCTAAGCATAAAGAGATATATGTACATAATGGAACAGTTACAAAGTCAGTACAGGTAGACACTTAAAACTAACCAAAAAGTAAAATAATGAGATAACTGAGATTCATAACCTGAGAAACCTCTAAACAAGGTAATTTTCCAACTTGAGCTCCTGTGAAGCCATATACCGAATTGGCACTTATTTTTAAGGCTAATTGCCTGCCATCTAAGACCTATGTTCAAAAAAGGTAGTAGAGTATTAATAAAAGTAATTTTGGTTTGTATACGATATGATGCAAAGCGTGGTACCTTGCGTTTGAAAGGATCCTTTTCATTTTTTAGGTCGAACTTTGCCCTGAGGTTATTTGCGAAATTTGAATAACATAGGTTAATATTTAAAACTGCTTACTTACTGCCTATATGATGCTTTTAATCACAATCTTGTTCTATGCAGATTACTTTTTTCGAGCTGATAATAAATTCTGTAAAATTTTAGGCAATATTCCAGCACGGAGATTTTTCTTCACGAAATAATTACCGGATGGTGTTTTAATGTAGTCATCAGGTGACAAACTGAATAAAAATTATCATGTTTTTAGTTGTCATATCTCTTGTAGTGATAATGGCCTAGCTATAAATGATTTCTACCGTCCCTTATGTGTCAAAATAAACATTCTTACTTGGATAAATGATGATGTTGTAATAGAGTTGTATAGCATAAATTATGAGCTTGCATAATTGATGGATACAAAGACGAAAAGTCCAGTGTTGCAATTGGACAATCATAATATCTAAAAATATCATTACTTTCATAAGTGATGATGTTGGTAAAGAAAGCAAAGGATGAATAATACAAATTATTGACAATTTCAGTAAAAGCCAACCCTCTGACTGGTTCAATTACAATAGCTCCTGTGTAATCATCGCCAGCTTCCGCTTTATGTGCCGGCATTAACATTTTTTCTTCTTTGGCCTTATAAAATATGCAAGCAGTAGAAAGATCAGCTGAAAGAACACGAATAGTCACACTAATAATCTAGACTGGTATATTATACATTCAGACTTACGTAGCGAAGTAATTGTGATACTACTTTGATTTGTTGGCCGCGAGTCAACAGACAACCAAGTGGAACACCAGTAACTCTTGCCATTTCCATATAGTTTATAATACACATTAGCTTATCTAGCAATTTTATGGGTAAACTTGCATTCTTAAGGCAATAAATTGCCAATCTTCTGCGTGATCGGTCGTTACCGCGCTTGAGTATCCACAAATAAAATGATAAATCCTTAATTACAAGCGGATCGAATAGTTTATAACATGTAAAGCTATATTTTCTTACCAGTAGGTCTGCAATTACACTTGGTTGAAGAAGTTCTTTTTGCTCTTTTAAGAAGTGGAAGGTTACAGCATTTAGGGAGTAAGATCTTAACTTATAGTCACGCAGAAGAGCCTAGAAAGGCCATTAGGTGATCAATGTAATCACAGTTATACGAATTTTTGTAGAAGTCAAAAGAAGTACAACAATAGCTGTTTACAGCCGTTCTTATCATTCCTTACATGTAATAAATCGAATTGAACACGACCTGAAATATTCATAACTTTGTTCTCTCGCTTGCCATAAGCACGTGATTGAAATGTATTTGAAGAAATTTGTGTTTTTTCATTGGTAATCCTACCCAAGTGAGAAAATTTTTCTATTCCTAAAGCTTTACTTCTATTAAGTAGGTATGGCAAACTGGAATTGACCACATTATAGCCTGTAATGATATCTGGATCAACTTCAAGAAAAAATTCATGCCATGCCTGTAGGCACAAAATCAAAAATCTTATATTAAGAACATCAGTATATGGCAATAACTACTAGAACGAATATTGTATTCATGCGAGTCGCTACATTCAAGCTGACTAGATTTTTTTTGTCATTCAAAGAAAGACCTTGAGCATTTCTTTTTCCTTGCTAAAGGTGTGGAGTTGACATCCAACAATATTTGCACTTGATTGTGTGGTAAAAATATTTTTAATAAACGGTTCGTAATCTCCCTGACGGATTACAACAGCCGCTATTTGAATAACACTGTCTTTATCTGGATCTGGTGTACCTATGCATAATATTAAAATATGTATCATAAGCTAACTATTAGCAATCAGCAGTGGTACAGCGCAATAAGCATTTGCAAGCATTATAAGTCTTTACCTCTAGAAGTGGAACACATGATATCGAAGCTTAATAATCTTAAAGGAGCTACGGCTTGCCATTCATCTTCTGCGGGATAGCTAATAAATTGATCCCAAGCTATATCAGCTTCAATTTGGCAACGAGACGTTCGATTCAAACTCGACTGAGCATTATTCCATCCGGGCGCATGATCTCCACGAATCATGTATTTAGTAGCAGGTAATTCGATCCAATTACACCCAACAACATTAGCATCGACCATAAATCTAATTACGTTAGTAAGTACGTTTATATCATGAGTAGAAATAATAACCGCCGGCTTACGATATATCGTACGTAACCACTTCCAGTTACATTACTGCAAGCCAAATGCTTATTTATAGACGGTGACAGTTCTAAGATATAACAACATATTAATTATGTAACACAATTCCTATAACTACGTCAATTACCTAATTTCAAAATCAATATTACTCTCATAGGTTTGATAGCAACAGACAGGGTGAGATGAATACGAAAAACCAATTTCCAGTAATCGTTTAGTAGTTTGCAATACTCTTGGTGTCGCGACAGTGATTTTGAAGAAAGGAGTTTGACGATTTTCATGATATCCATATATACTGCAGTATGCGACAACCTCGACTGCTAAAATAGCTTGAGAGACTTTTTCCTTATTGGATTTAAAATCGTTCAAGACAGTCTTATTAAGATCATCTTGAAATAGTTGGCATTCTTCCCTCATCTCTGATTGCCTACAAGTTGGAGGAACTTCCACATAAAAGTAAGGAGCAAAGCCATGGATGTGGCATATTACTGTATGCTGCTCCTTAGTAACTCCGAACATCCTGATGATAGGAACGGGACCAGTCGCTGCACCTGGCATTCCAGGCACAGGTGAGCCTATTACCACATCGGTAAAATATTAATTTTAGTTGTCAGTTTGTTATCTTTATATCATGCTAATTTATAGTATAAATTACTAAAGCATCTCTAGTCCGTGAATATAAGGTAGTTAGTTAAAGTAGGAGTGGGTCTAGGCCTAGGTAGCTAGCCGGCTGATTTCTTACGATTACATCTATCTGTATACCATATTATAAAATTACTTCTACAGTTATTCAATGCAAGTTATGTCACACCTAAATAGTAGTCCATATCCAACTGCTGAAATATGATGGCATCTTTATTAACATCAATAGAATTTAATCGGGGTCGAGCCCATCTGTTGCGAACTGTTTCTGGGAAATGGTAATTTTCTGTCATAAATTTAGCAAGTGCTGGCACTTTATCAGTGATATTTGCCATTTCCATTTCCATTTCCATTTCATTTTCTATCGTCTCCATGGTTGCAAAATCTTCGTCTGTATCGCCATTATCATCGTACATCATGCGCTTTTTCTTAACATTCTGTTCAGAATTACTACCAGATCTTCTTTTAAACGCATCCTGACGGCATATCAATGAAAAAGTATGATTACTACTACTAAAAACATTGCAAATGTATCCAATAACGTTGCCTTTGATTATTCGTGACGATAAACAAGCTGTCTATATACAAGTAAGTCTAAATATTGTATCTGATGTTTATATTCTGTTTATGTCCAAGAGGAGGCCACCTCAAGGGAAAGAAAGTTCTGCTGGCTATCCACTGCTTTAAGTGCAATGAGATAGCAGGACTATGTGTTACTATAAAGTGAAATATGCTATCGATTCAGTCGTTGATCAACCCATATCGAACTAATGTACTCCTAATAAGGAATGCAGTCAGTCTGACATGACGAGGAAGATGATACCTTACGTATGCATTTTACTGTAGGCATGAATCATGCATGCAAGATGTCAATATAAGATCACTAGAAGAGGAATCAGACCTAATTACATGAAAGGATCGTTTCCTACAGACTTTAAAATGATGGGTAACTTTGATACCTTACTATGCATTACTGTATATTATTATTCGTTGAATGCATTCGTACAGGCAGCTAGCACATTGCGTCAAATGGTCGCCAATGCATCTATCTTATAGATGATATTGGTACTTACCATTTTCTTCTCTTACTTTGCGACTACCAACGTGTTGTAGCCAATGCTTAAGGAAGGAGATCACAATAACAGATCCAATCCCACAATAATTATACAACAGGTATCTCAGAATAGCGGATTTCAATTCAATATTTGAGCCAAGAATTGAAGTTGTGTGTGCAAGATGATCAACCCACTCTGCGTAGACAGCTCGTATGATCTGATTGTAAATTTCTCCTAATGAAACTCAAATTAATCAATATCCACAGATTAAATCGATAAAGGTACTCGACCGTTCTCCATCACATGCATAGACATAGTACAGAATAGATTAACTTAGGCTTGATTGGCCTGATTGATGCTTGATTTCATGTTTTGAAATCTGGCTCCACCATTGAAAATGCTGCAAGGATTTGTCAATATTTCGTTTACAGACTTGCACGTTGTTGACTGTGAAGATGTTGCTCGACGCTATAGGATATCATACTGACACGCAGCACTAAACGATACAGTATACTCGCCTTAGCTGGTCCATTTGGTCCGTTACGATCCGTACCGTATCGGTACGGACCGGCCAGGAATTGAAGTTGGCGGGAAATAAGGGGAGCAAGTTGGCTTTCGGATACATCATTACGAAATTCATCTTAAGCATTACACCACATTCAGTAGTCCTGTATGAAGCAGTTGGTTTGCAAGATGGCGAAGGAGCACCGCTCTAGTTCGATTCCTCAAGTTGGTTAATGGCCAAATCAATGTCGATATGTTGCCAATGGATTGTGCCTTTATAGAGATTATCATGTGCAGTAGAAGGAAACGAATGGAATGATATAAGTTTAAATTTGTAAAAGTAGCTAGCCCGAAATAAATCAAGCCATATCGATTCGTTGATGTCTGAAGGTAATTTGACTGGCGAGAAGGATTGTTTGAGCTACAAATAAATTGCAGTATGAGAAGGACAATTGGACCAACTTCATTCATTTCACTCCCATGAAAAATATTCATTTAATAATAATCGTCGACATTTTAAACCATAAAAATTATAGCATCAGAAGCGCCATTTCTGACTGCATCTAACGAACTAGATAATCAATTCATTGGTAAAAGGATTTTAAATAATTCCTCGGCCATTGGCCGATTGGTAGGTTTGTCATCATTGCCTTGCTGATGTCCAGTATGCTTACGAAAAGGAAAAGCTTTATAAAGGAAAGATCGAAGCTATTGATATTTTTCTTTTACCTCTATTGTAGGAACTGTACAGTATCATTTTAGTGTATAATTGACAATGTACATGAACTGGTAGAAGGAACTACGGACTAAAATGAAAAGGGAAAACGGTGCATTCGGAACTTCTATATCAGAACAATCTATGTCGTGGTGACATCATTTTTGCTAGCCCTTTATCCAGTATATTCATTCATCATTTACGAACAGTTCCTATGTGGATGATGACATAAGTTTTGCCAGGTTCGATTCAATCACCCGACAATCGGTAAAGGATATGCCGACAACTCATACTGTATACTGTACTAGATTGCCTATAGTAAGGAAAGGCAATCGTTACCGGGTGACATCATTAGGCGCAGGGACTCCTGTCCATCAGTATCCAGGGAATGCCGGAATAATAAAGTGCAATTTGGTAGCTTAGGAAAAAAAGATCAAGGTACGCCAGACGCCATTTTAACTAAGATCTAATGGCTCTATTTGCAATCTAATCCTACAATTGATAATGTTTCTGTTGTAATTTTATTCATTTTAAAGCGTGAGTGATACTGGACTAGTCGACATCATTGTATATATGTTGTAATAACAGTTATATACAGTTTGATATAGAATAAATCGAAAGCAGCATGATGTTTTGATGATTGATGATCGTAAATTATCCTACAATACTCAGATCTTTCTTGCCTTAGTAAGGCTGGATTGTAGCTGATTCTTTCTAGATCAGTTCGTTGCCATGAATTGATTAATGGACTAAATAGAGATACAAATTGATAGAAGATGGTTTGATTTGGAAATAGAATGGAGTGATTAATGTCGTTGCAGTAAGAGGCAGTTTGTTTACGTTTTGCCAGGATAATGGACTAATCTAATTTCATATTACAGCACAGTTGAATAGATTAAATCGATTAGAAACACTTTCACGCATAAAAGATGTTGGGAAATCGATCTATACTACATCATTTGCTAATAGCAAGTCATTGTATTATTTTTTTAATGATATTATGTCATTGTCGATGTTATAGTAGATGAAATTTCAAATTTGAAAATTAGCTACTAATCAACTGCTCGTAAGACATCATTTCCAACGTCATAATCAAACCAATTAGTTCAACGGTTTATAGTTCAATATTCACCTTGGTTTACTAAAGATCGTATATACCGCTAGTATGGAGTAAACTACTTGGGGAAAAAACGGGAAAACTACTCCTAAAGAGTTTTCAATACTGTCGTCCTGGAACTGCAACTTTATAATGCAATGTCAAAATCAAACTGCTTACTATATGAATACATTAGTTTAACAGCTTACGGATCAATTCAACGTTATTTATTTGACTAGATTGCTCAAGCCGCTAAAATAGAACAAACTACTTGGAAAAAAGACGGAAAAACTACTCCTAAAGAGCTTTCAATAATCCTAAATACTGAACTAAGTAAGTTTCCAATATAATGTCAAAATCGAATCGATTACGGTACCTCAACAGCTTACAGATCAATTCATACTCTCTTATTTAGCTAAATCACACAAGCCAGCAAAACAGAATAAGCTACTCAAGAAAAGAGACGATACGACTTTCCAGATAGGCTTTCAATAGCCCTGTAAGTCTTTCATTGGAAGATGCTATACCTACCTTTTTGAATTTATTATAAATAAATTCGTATAAGCCTATAACAAGGTTCTATGTAATCATTGCATCTACAATTATCATCATTCGACAGATTGGACCTTTCTGGTATTATACCTAATAAAGAATTTCAGTTATCGTATTCAAGGCAAGTATTCTAACCGCCTGACGGATTACATGCTTGACTAATTCATCATTCTGGCTTACCGTAGAACGAAGGGACAGTACAGTTATGAATTAGCGTACTATATGCTTATATTATTGCCAATACAACTGATTAATATCATTTTACCCTCTATAGCATCACACATCTACTTTAAGCTAATCATTTTCTATCAGCTATGACTGAAAAAAATGATCCAAAAACACCAGACGCCAATCCATCAGAGTTAATCGACAAAGTGTTTGATATGCCGTTGCAAAGTTATGATGATTTCATGTCTGAATTTATGTATTTGACAAAAGGTGATGCTTACGAAGTAAATTATTCCCTATCAATTTAAAGCTTCATCAAAGCTAAATGATAGACACCGTTATGGCATTACATTCCCATTTCGTCTATAACCAGGTAGCAATTTATGTCTTACTGTTGGATCTTTATATATCTTTATTTCATAGACAATGTGAAACAGACGAAATTGAGTACAAGTAATAATTATAACAAGAACTACGAAAGCCAGGATACTCAACCAAAGACCGTAAACGCTGAAGTTGAACTTTCCGAGGAAGTAAGTCATTTCTAATCTTCAATTACTGTATGAGCAGATCTAAAATAGACTCAAAAACTAAAAAACTTAGCTACTGTAAAAATGATACATATCTAATTTACTTGCTTTGATTAACGGTATTTCTACACAAATTCTATAATAGCAAATTGGGATTGGTCTTCGACGACAAGAGTTTTTGATGAGAAATGATTCAGAGTCTTTACCATCTGCAATTAAGGTATTGAAGATATACTTATGATAAATTTGATTAGTGTATTGATGCACTTCTAGAATTGATACTCGGCATGCAATTTTATGGGAGTAGGTGCTTTACTATTAAATCTACGAATAAAAATTCAATCAATTGTAACAACGAAAAATATATCTCGCACAGTTTGATAACTTAGTGCCATTAGAGGACGACTTAGGTATTGAAGACCTGGATAATGAAGATAAAACTACAATATGCAAAACTACTAAGACAATAACAAAATTGATGGCTGATGAGCAAAACGATGAATTTCGGGAAGACGAAAAGTCAACAATTGAATCAGAATTGGATAATCGTACGTTCGTACTTGTGCTATTATGCGAGTACTAATTTAATACACGAATATTAAAAACAAAACTTGCGATTTAAAATAGTTTTCTAACTCGTTAAAATACTAACTTTTAGCTATAAAGTATCCAAGCCAGCAATCTCCGTTACCAGGAGAAATTAGCAACGATAATCAAGGTTTAATAGATCTAAAATGTTTTTAATCCGGCGAAATAAATATATCATTTGCATTCTATTTGCTACCTTATTTAAAAACATACTTTTCAACCTTTTATTAGAGAATTTTGCAGTAAACTCAACCACTACGTATCTAAAGCTACAAACTACAAATGAAAATATTTCTCTAGAATCCACCGGTGATGACGTAACAATTTCCATGGAGGAAAAAAAGAATGAAAAGGTTGATCATAGCTGTATTTTTGCATTTGGTGTCTAAAAATTTTGTCATAGGACTCTTGTACGATCGATAATTTTGCGGTAATTGATTATCAAATTAGGAAATGGGATACAAAATCATTATAGGCAAATGATTAAAATCCATAACCATTGTACGCGGTGTATTGATGAGATATTTCCAATTTTGTTTTATTGCTCTAGACTCGAACCAATGACGTTATTCCTTTTTCATTAGACACAAGTTTTGACTACGATCGTGTTCAATTGACTCCTAAATTTTCTCAGAATGACTTATTAGATAAAAAACAGGTTTGAAAAGTATTCTCTGACTAAACAGACTCAACATTCTTTCCGTGATTTATGTGCGGTAAAAGAGACCGCCTAGCTAACTTTTAAAAAGTGTATGCAATGTATATTATGTTCTTAATGATGTGCTTATAATAATTCACTGTGTAAATAGCTTTGTATCGAAGACACTCTCTGTGTTATATACAAATATGTTGTAATAAAGAATATGATCATATACAGTGCGTAATTCGATATGAATGAAATTGATACTTGTTCATTTTAGGCTTACTGTATTTTCCATGTTGTATAGGTGTGCATAGATATGATAGCCATTTTTAAATCGTACTGATCTAAATTTCGGTTTATGAAATTGTTATTGATAGAATATAAAGTGCGCTTAAATTTTGTTAATCTATGTAAATATTTTCATTTTATGTGCCATTTATCAACTGAAGGTGTTTATAGAAGCTACGTCGTAGCTGACTGGTACTCGTTGTATGCTACTTGCGAGGAAAAAAATTCTAGTAATGTAATCATCGCTAAGTAAATGACATGTCAATCCTAAATTATAGCCCACTACGACAAAAGCCAAATAAACTGTAGTAAATAGAGTAGACTCTTCAAACCTACGTTTCGATGTGTACTAATATCGCTTAATCTATTCTATATCAATTAAAGCATTAGCATATCCTTAACAATTTTCCATTATTGACAAGAAAATCATAACTTTAGACAACTTGTTCATGTCTGCATTAAATATTGATTGTTGCACCAACGAACTTGAATAAAAGATACCTATGAAAACTATTATAAACTCGAAAGCAACTTTGCAATCCATACCTACCGCTAATATCTGGCACAGTTTTAGGTGTTATAATCTGGCAATGAGCTTCCATACTTAGTCCAAGGAAGTTAACAAGTTTGTCAAACTACTACTTCCACATGGATATAATGTTTGCATCAGTGATAAGATCATTATGGATAAAAATCTGATTATTCATTTTACACTCAAGTGTAGCATAATGCAAGAGTATAAACTAGATGATTTTGCATATTTCAAGTTGTTCATATTACGTTTCCAGAAATTTATTTCATGTACCTTAGTCTTTCTATACAGTAGTTACAAGAATTAAACGCTATGATACTCACATTTAACGGTAAGTTGTCGGAAGGAAAAGGATAATCTCTTTAATATGAACTGTTTTAATATTTCTCTATTGCGTGCTTATACTAGTCGTTGCAAAGTGCAGTGCACATAATTTTGAAAAGTTGAATAACATATTTAATTCATATTAATAAGCATTTCATATCATGGCTTTCTTAAAATAAATTTTAATTATGAAATTTGCATGATTTTGTACCAATATAGCTATTCATCGTTATAAAATAAGCTGTAATCAAATGAAATTTCTAAAAGAGTACATAGGATGACAAAAAGCAAGGGGATAAATTCGTTCAAATTTTTTATATAGACCAATATTGTAATTAGTATGTCAGGTTATACTTTTAGTGATTCATTATACTTTGCGTCAGCAATATTAGCTTGCTGCTGATATTCAGTACAAACTTTCTCGATAATGTCCTCAGATGGATGATTCTGCAACAATTTTAACGTATCAAGGTTCTTTTTTAATAGTTGATATTCACTGAAAAGTTGACTAGATTGCCTGGCTATAGAAGCAATTGATTTGGTTAAATCGTTCAGCTGTTTGCCCATGGATTCCATCTGCTGGGTTATGTTATTAGAATTTGAAACTTTTGATGGAGCTGTTGTGGATACGAGGTGAGTAGTTGGTGAACCTTGTGAAACTATTTATCCAAAGAAAATGAAGAATAAACTTAGACCGTCAAGCCATCAAGTAATTTATTATGTTTAAAGTGATCAATGATTGCAAAAGACCATTCAAATAGTTGAGTAACATCAGACTTTTAACTATAACTTGTAGGCGTAAAATAGCAGATGGATGGATCATTTTTCTTACATTAATTCAAAAAAATTGTTTACCTGCTACATTGCAATGCTCACCAGCGTAGCCATTATTGCATAGGCATTGATAGCCATTGGTTGACAATTTACAAACGCCATTCTGGCAAGGATTAGAGGCACAGTAATCTCGGAGATGGCAATTTTTACCTGAATAACCCTGGTCGCATTTACATCGGTAGCCGGAATTATGCCCTAGACATTTTCCGTGCTGACAAAGATCGGGATCGCAAAAATCTATCATTAAAGTATGAAGGTAAAAATGAGCGAATTACCATAAAAATATGACCGCCTGTATAGGTATTCTAACATGCTATTTTAAATTTATGTAATGACTTAGTATCCTAGATTTAGTACATGCTCAATCTAATAATGCAACAATCAATATCAATCAATTAAATTCTCCTACATACTTCTCTTGGCACCGCAGTATCTTTTATTACAGGCCGAAAATGGTTTTAACTTGTACACGAAAAATCGGCCGCAATTGCGAACTTGGATTCGCTTTGACGATTGGCAGCAATTACGACCAAAATAAAAGCAAGCAGTTCTGTTGACGATGCCTTCTTCAACTAGTAATATATGGAAATAAAACTAGGATTAGATCAAAGAGAGCTAATTCGATTCTAGTTAGTCGATAAATGCTTTATGAGGAGAAAGTGATAGTAGCAACGGTTTCCCCAGTAGAATATATAGTGTATTCCTATATTTGTTGCTCTAAAGTTTTAGAAGGAAAAGGATCATATCCAAAGAATGCGAAAAGAACCGTAATAGTTCTATAGATTATTTTACTTATACTACGCTCCTCAAGATTGAATGCTAAAACTATGACTGTGGTTGCTATCTTGGTGAATATAATTTTGGCAAATATTATATCTAGACAGGATAACACCAGTATAAATGTAAATAGCTATAATCGAAGTAGTAAGAAGAAAATTTTTCCCACCGTTGTATTACAGTAATTAATTTCATAATAAATGACAGTCAATGACTAAAGCTGATATTAGCTCCATTTCACTATCATGTCTTTCCATAAATATGCAATAAGACTAATGGATTAACGAGAAATATATAATTAATAATGAATGGATGCATTTCTAGTTAGCACGTCTATTGATAATTCACTATCTATAAATTATGGATTTGTCTATCTTGACAATCATTGATCTACCAGTATTAAGTAAAAATTAATATTCTCCAAGTTTAGTCAATAAAAGTTATGGTATACTAACGAATTTATAGATGGTGTAATTTTAATTTATTTTTTTGTTGCCTATCTTACCGCTAGGATGGTTTCCTTTCATCCATCCAACTGAAAAAGCACCGCATACCATATAGCGTTCAACACATTTAGTTAACATCATTTGGCTATTGCGGCCTCCATTAAATCGATACCACAATTCCGGATTGACATTCGTATCGCATTTTATTGGAAATGAACTTTTAACAGTAGCCGATCGATCGGTTTCGCGAAGTTCCTTATAGCCAACACATGGATCTATATAATAACATAGTGTTGATATCAAATATCCAAAATCACGATCAGATCGCATGATTTTAAGTAATTTAGATGAAGAAAAAACGACAATTTATTATCTACAATAAACCATGATAATTAATAACAAAACGAAAAGAAATAATAGGCCCTGGTAAAAACTCACCTTGTCCAGATTGGCCATTGCAAATCGCCAGGAATGTCTAAAATTAGAAAGAACAATTGCTTCATTTTTAAAATAGGTAAATAATAATTAAACTATTCAGAATTGATGCAAGTTGATCTGGATACTGGATTGCAGTTTCAAGTTAATAATTATTTGTTACGATGATTGATAAATATCCCTTCTTTACATGCTGTGATAATGTAATCGCTAGTTATTTATTATATGTACATAAAGATGTAAATAAATATTTTTAAGACATTAGACGACGGAAATCAAGATAGAATTTATGGAAATAGCTATTCCAAGTTGAAGATAGCCTGACGTATTAGCTAAAAGGCTAAAAATAGTCCCTGGCTATTTATAAACTATGTAGGTAAAGCTATAAAGTGAGTACTTCAAGATAATCGACGACGGATATTAAGACAAAACTTATTGTAATGACATTTTCAGGACAGTAACGACTGCTGTCTTAACTGAAAGACTAGATATAATCCCTAACTATTTTATTATATTTAACTAAAGATATAAGTAAATGCTGATAAAGTAGTAGATGGTGGAAATCTAAAACTTATCGAAAGGGATTTTCCAAGTTGATAATAACTTGCGATGTTAAGTAGAAGATTAAATCAAGTCACTAACTTAGTATTCTGTCTTTGATATTAGCTATTTATCACGACTACATAAATGATACAAATAACTATTTTTAAGATAGTAGAAGGCAGAAATTAAGGTGGAACTCATTGAAATAATATTCCCAAGTCAACAATCTTCTGCTATGTCAAGTAAAAAGACTAAATACAATCTTTAGCTATTTATCATATACAACTAAATAGATATAAACAATTACAGTTAGCAAAGTAGATGGCGAAGATATAGACAGGATTTCGTGAAATGATTTTCCCAGCCGATAATAACCTACCGTAGAACTGATAGGCTAAATATAATCTCTAGTTATTTATCATTCGTAATTAAAGGCGATGGATCAAGATGGAACTTATTAAAATAACATTTCCAGGTCGATAACATGTGATATTGGCTGAAAGATGCCAGAAATTACGCTGTGATCACTATCGTAGCTTTCGTGATTATTTAAGATCATGAATGATTATAATTATTAAGAGAATTAAATTACTGTTGCAAATCAATGATAGTCTATTCTAATGATCCTAAAGATGGAAATTTTCTTCATATTATTATGTCATAAATGATCACTAGCTACTTAGTAATCTATCGATAAACAAATATCGTACTAGCTATTTAAGAGAGTAGATAACTAGAACCAGTGATAAAATCTACGAAAATGATTTTTAGAGTTAATAGCGGCCTACAATACCAATTGAAAGATATAAAAAATTTCTGTAATATTGTATGATTAACAACTACAGTTGTTTGTTCGATGTCGGAGAAAGAATAAAGAACTAATTGATAGTTCGATTTAAACGCGAAAAATAAGGAAAGAGTGTTAATTAGTTAATAGCTTATTTTGCCTATTTTATAAAGATGAGAAATGATGATAACATTTTCCATTAGCTAGTTAGTAGAGATTAGAGAGATACTTCTAAATTAGTAGATAACTATATCAAAAGATAGAAGCTACAAAAATGGGTATTGACTAGTTATTAACCACCTGTTATTGGCTATAAAAATTTTAACAATTTCTATATATGAAATAATATCTATTACTACTGTATACTTAATTATGATCCATAAAGGAATGATCTTAAGCTATCATTGGGTTAGATTAGATGCTGTAATAGGGTGGAAAGGATACTGACGTCAACTGTAAAAGCGTAATACTACCTTAGAAACTGAAAAAGGATGGGATAAGAATATTTTATGGGTAATGATCACTTTGGTTAATTTATAAGCTTCTACAATAAAAAAGGTGATTGCCAGCTATCAATTAATTAAGATCAAGCAGTAATACTTCTATGCTAGTGCTGAAGCTAATTAGATTCAAAAGATAGGTAGTACAAATCACTAATTACAAAATAGGTTACTAAAGTAAATTATAAAATAACGGATAAGATTATCACAAGCGTAGAATGGCAACTTTAATTCTAAAGTCTATTCTTGAATTTATAAATTATCGGTTACTTTTAGAATTTTTTAATATCAGAATTAAACTATCTTTCTTACCAAAAATAGGGCAATATTATGGAAATACATAGCCTATACGTTCCAGTAAATTTAAAGTATATGTTTTTGACTTCGATATTGTCAATCTCAGCGCTTATAAGATGGCTCCAGGGTCACGTCTAGGATGAAAAGTACTTCGATAGAAATTTGTTGACTCTTTTATAATATTTTTGCTAGTATATTTTTATACTGTACTAATTTCTTAAAATAGCATTGAATATTTAGCCACGCATTTTCAAACAGCAGGATTACTGTTGTCGTCCTCGCCATCTTCATAGGAGATCAGAAGAAGGTACTGATGTTATCTTAAAATATCAGTAGAATTTAGGCATTTTAAGCAGTAGAATTACTAATATCTGCCTTATTATCTATACTGGAGATCAATTTGGTATTTTGATATATTCTTAATATAATTAAAACTATTAAACCAGGCGTTTTAAGCTACAGGACTGCAATCATCCGCGTCGCCACGTTGATAGGATAACATCAAGATAAATAAATTGAATGTTGTTGACGTCATCAATAGAAAATTACTCATGAAAAAAGAAGATTTTCTATTAGATCATCTAGCTGACGATTTGATAGGACTTTGCTAAAAATACGAGTAATCCTATGATTCATGATTTAAATAGAATAAGATTTAATTGAGATGCTTAGATTTAATTGAGCAATGAAAGAAAACAGTATTATCGAATTCATGAGTACATTCCATTCGATTAAGCTAACTACCCTTTCTAATCTGGCATACAAATCTACTTTTAAACGATTCTTGAAAAGCATACCAGGTTAGATGCAATAAAATTTCATCCGAATATTATTATATGAAATGATTGCGGTTATCATTCATTTGCATAGCAAATTTACCACGCTGGGTGTAATAGTATTTCATCGGGCTGTTAATAGAAATGGAAAAATTGCTCTTATTATTTGTCCGCGTAGTGAAGGACTTTCATCTCCATCATATTTCCAGTTTTTACTATTATTAGAGAATTGCATCACTTTGGATGCTTTAGAGAAGACTAGAATAGACTATCGATCTTTTGCACAAAAAGAATATATAGAAGAACGAAAGGGTGGCAAAGCAAATATTAAATCTATAAACTCAAATGCATTTAAAAGTTTCATCCAAATAAATTATAAGAAATGGTCTTGCGCTTGCTACGTAGTAAATATTACCCTGGACTGAGCTGATACTGCAAACAGTTATTTCGAAAACAAGCTTATCATAGGGATAATTTAGAATTATCTATAAAGCTTTTATGCAAGATTTATGATTGAATGATTGATCTATGTAGCTTTACAGTATTACCCGTAAATGATGTAATAAGGTTGAATAATTTTAGATGAAATTCTCTAGTAATTGCGAATGAAGGTCATTCTATTTTGATGTTATCTGATGGGTTGAGGGGAAGTAAAACACAAGTAGATCTCAAAGGGTGCCAGAACAAGAATTTTATGTTCGAACAGTCTGCGTATAATGTAGCCAACTCTAAAATAATAAGTAGCATAAATGTGTTTAAAACTTGAAAGCGCTGTATATAAAACGTTAATTTTATTGTATTTAAGTTTTTTCCTTACCGAATAACCATAAAACGGATTTAGGAATAGTATTATTCATCTTATGCAAAATGTAAATTTAAAAGTCTCTCTCTATTTTGCTACTATAATAATAAATATCAATTTCGATATACAATAGGAAATACATGACTTAAAACAATAGGATCCTTCTTTTAGATTTAATTAAAAAATAATAAGTTTTATAACTATTATAAGATATTTTCTCGTTATTATAGCTAAATAATAAGACGATATAAAATTTTAATATTAGTAAATAATTTTTTAATACAATTTACTCTGCACTTTTCTGTAAGCTGTATAGGAAAGTTAATTACTACATTATTAAGCAAATAAAATAGTTTGCTGCGTTCTGTCACGAAATTATACATGTATAATGGATCGTGAAGTTTAGAGATACCAAAACTAGCAATAATATTCATAAAATAGGAATGTAGGAATGTATATAAGCAGATCAATCATAGAGAAAATATCTTGCGCTACCAGCTGAAATTGTAGTTCAATAAACAAGTTATTATAAAAATTAATAACTCATTTCATATCTTGTGATATAAAAATAGAAAGACAGTTCGAAAATAATAGTGCCTATAAACTGTGAGA